AGAAGGATGTAGTACCGTAGCGTACCGAAATACGTTAGCGTGGAGATTAAGAATAGAAAAGACAGCACAAATTGACAAAACACTGAACAGATTTAATTTCACGAAGATACACATCTGAGGTTCACACACGATTTTTGTTTCGCGATGGGGCTCTCGTCACCCCTTTGGTCCGGACACAAGAATACGACGGAGTGATCTAATATAAAATCCTGACGCGACAATTAGGAATCGCTGCAATCACACATAAATTTCCTGATGCGACAATTAGGCTTAGTACTTTATAACTTGATAATTGTACTATTCTTACGTGGCAGATGATCTTGATACCTGCTGAAAGTCTCTCCTTTAGTACACGATTGTCCTCCTTTCACATGGTTCTTTCTTCTTTGTTCTTCACTTTCCTTCCTCTGCCAACGACCCGACACGAACCCAGGTGAAACGAAGAAAAGTCCGCTAAGCACGTGGTCTTTCCTTTTTATAACCCACGCCATGTCCTGACGAGGGAACATATGTCACGGCAGGGGAGCCAATCACGGGCTTGCACTACCACGCCTCAAGAAGTGGTACGAACCTTACGGAAACAGTCTACAATTACCAATGCGCGACAAATTACAGTATATAGATACATATATATTTAATGATAACATACAAACATTTAGTGAAAAACACTACAAGGACAATACAGATAAGTGTTGAAATCAACTAAATATCAGTTAATGGTGGCCCAACTGAGACATGTGGCTAAAAATCCCCGGGTGCTTCTTTCTTCTCCTTTTCCTATTTTTACCATCTATTTATTTCTTCTTAGTTTATATTTATGTTAAGTCAGTTATAAGTCCTCATGCCAATATTGTTGCGTATTGGTCAGCTCGATCATATAAAAGAACATTTGATTTGTTGTATATGCTTATTTACTGCCTGTGAGTTGGGATTGTTATTATTTGAACTTACTCGAGGCAAATAAAATTGATTTTGTGTTATAGACTTTACTGTATTAACCCTGAGCTAGTGCAGTGGGGTGTTTCGCCACCCCCAACGTTTTAAAAGTTGCACTATTCATAGATTTCGCAAGAAATATTTGTGTCCTCTTCAGTAGCTTCATGATTTTATGTATAGAGCATGCTCAGAAATTACTACGATGCTGCAGAAATTCCAGTAAGAGAAAAACAACAGTTCTCAGTGGGGTGTCCAAACACCCCACAGTATTAATTACGTTTTTTTTTAAATTTTACAAATATTTATTTAGTTTTTTTTATTTTAAAAATAACTATAATGTGACCACATTTATTATTTATAATATAGATATAATAATCAATGTGAATAAAAATAATTTAAGTTTATTTTAATTCAAAATGGCTGACTTTCATAAACACATTGAGAAAATACCAAACATAGCAAGTTGCTTGTCATTTGCAATGAGTGCCAAAGTACAATGTCAGCTATTGAATCAGAGTGACAAAAATGATTAAAAAACAATTTAGATTTTTACTATTGGTTTAATAATAAGATCTAATGTAATGAGTTTTGATAAATGTTGTTTTTTTATTTTCATGGATTTATGTACTAATATAATATGTAATCATACCTGAATATAATCATATGAAAAATGACACATGCCTTTACCAAATAAATGAGTAAATCTTTATGAATTTTTACTTACATGGTTTATGGACCCAAAAAAATGTCGGGGTGGACAAATGCCCCACTGCACTAATGCCGAAAAAAAACTCAGTGCACTAACGTGGGGTTAAATTTCTTTTATGTATTCCTGTTCGTGGAACCACATATACATTGCTTCGATCTTCACAGTATCATTAATATTTAGCAATTGTTTTATGAGGGAAAAAAATGCATATAAAATCTTTTACTGTAAATTAGATATCTTAACCTTACAAAAATACTAATAATAAATTAATCAAATTATGTTAAAGTATAATTTTAAATATTTTGAATTAGAGTTTATGATGATAAGTACTTTTTAATTGATGATGATTTTAACTTCAAGTTATTTCAGTTGTTTATAATTAATATTCATGGACATTAAATGACACAAAGTTAATCAGAAGCATTTTCAGTAATGCAGAATTCTTGTGAAGTCTAGTTATGCTGTAATCCTGGACTCATTTCTAACCAATTTCTGACTCCATTACTACTAGAATTTTAAATAATTCAGTCAGTATATGGTACTGTTTATATGCTGAACTCTTCTAGTGGCATTCTCTTTTCTGTTGTGTCATTACTGTTAGCACTATTCATATGAAATATGGGTTGTACATATTAGTAAAAATATATATATTTTTTATAATGATAAAATTATGGTTGTAATAAGTGAATAATCATTTTTACCTCTTACAATTTTGAACATAACTTTACTGACTGCTGATTCATAGGTATTCAGATATGGCAGATGCAGAAAAAATGCAGGAGAGGGCAAAACTTGAGATAAATAATTACATTGATAAATAATTATCAATAAATATATAAAATTATTTACACTTACCTTTTAATTAATTTAAAAATGTATTTTTCTTTTTAAACAATAAAAAACACACCTTTAACAATCCAGCAAATAAAATTTGCTAAAATAAAAATGTTTTTGATTATTTTGTTAATAAAATGTTTTTATTTTAGTAAATTTTATTTGCTGGATTGTTAAAGGTGTGTTTTTTATCATATTCTATTTATCCAGTACGTACAATATATTGTAGGTACTGGATAACATTATTTCTTTTTAAATTTGTTTTGCTATAAATTTACAATTCACGCTTCACTCAGTGACTCACTAGGCACAGAGGGCAAATGAACTGGTTGCTGTTCACAATAATAATGAACTTTTTTTCACAAATCATAAAAAGATAAATCAAAGACAGAAACATGTATTTATTGCTGCAATAGATGAAACACATGTTTTATGACTATCATACTGAGGAACAGAACTGGACAACTCATAATAAAATTTTAAGATATGTAAATCATCTTATGGTTGAGGGTATAAGGTTACATATATCAATCACTTTTATGATTATAGTGTGTGGAATTTTTTACCTGATCCCAGGGGGCAAGTGTCCCATTTTTCTTTGTTGATGCTCATATACTCAGAACAGTTCTTTGGTCTACTCTCCTAGCCAGTTAAATTTGTTACTTAGCATTCTGTATTATTGAACACAGCTTAATATATTTTAATTATTTTAAACATTATTTAATTTTAAATGGTTTAAATAGCTTTTTTTAATATTGATATTTTATTCCTATAATTTATATTTATTCATATTATTTACATTATTTAAATTTATCAACTTATACTAATGATTTTTATATAATGTATAACGTCCTTTTAATCCAAAGAATTTTTCTTGGTAGATGATCTCACAGCATTTTGGTCAGCAAATTAGTTTTATTTTAAAAATTTGAACTCAGATGCATTTCAGGTTGGTTTAAGTTTCCAACCCCTTTTCAGTGCTGTTAAAAAATATACAAATTGTAATAAAGGACACGGCATTATTTAAATATCACATAAAAGGATTTCTACAATACAAATAATTACATATCATATAATGGTACATATTAAAATTCTATTTCTATATTTTTATCTTCCATAGGTGTATATAGCAATTCACTATAGTCATAACACTTCACAATCCAAATCATAACACTTTCCCGTGGTATAACCACATAATTAATAATTGTCAAATCAATAGAAATAATATAAAAGTTTNATTCTTAGTTTATACATATAACGTTTTTTTTAATCCAAAGAATTTTTCTTGGTAGACGATCTTACAGCATATTGGTTAGAAAATTACGATTTTATTTTAAAATTTGAACTCAAATGCATTTCGGGTTGGCTTATGTTTCCAACCCGTCTTCTGTGCTGTTAAAAATATACAAATTGTAATTGTAATATACAAATTGGACACGACATCATTTAAATATTACGAAAAAAAATTTCTACAATACAAAAACTTACGTCTCATATAATGGTACAATTAAAAAATTATTTCTGTATTTTTATCTTCTATGCGTGTATAACAATTCACTATAATACAAAAATATAAATTATGCGGTTTAAAACATATTATAAAACTTAAAACTATAACAGTATAAAACGTATTCATTTAAGATTTTCTAAAAAACTTACATTTTTCCAGTAATTATGTATTATATTTCCATTTTTTACATTTAAAGTGGGTGGGTATCAGTTCATCCAAACAGAGTTAAAACATACCAACAAAAGGTGTTATCCGGTATTAATCCAATTTATTCCAAACTATCCCATACAGTGATATTGGAGTGTGTTTTTTAAACAATATTCAATGTGTGGAGGCACCCTTTATTAATTTATACCATTGAGGATCAATTAAGATATCATCTGAAATATTAATTAAATTTTCTTTTGGGTGTTTTTTTATTTCTATAGGCTCTTTAAATTTTCTTTTGTAAGGGTTCTTTTCTAAATGTAAAACTTTTATATTATTTCTATTGATTTGACAATTATTAATTATGTGGTTATACCACGGGAAAGTGTTATGATTTGGATTGTGAAGTGTTATGACTGTTTGGATGGAAAATATACACCTATGGAAAATAAAAATATAGAAATAGAATTTTAATATGTACCATTATATGATATGTAATTATTTGTATTGTAGAAATCCTTTTACGTGATATTTAAATAATGCTGTGTCCTTTATTACAATTTGTATATTTTTTAGCAGCACTGAAGAGGAGTTGGAAACTTAAACCAACCTGAAATGCATTTGAATTCAAATTTTTAAAATAAAACAATAATTTGCTGACCAAAATGCTGTTAGATCGTCTACCAAGAAAAATTCTTTGGATTAAAAGGACGTTATACATTGAAATTGAATAAACAGCAACCATACTGTATTATACTAATGATTTTTCTACTAGAGTTATTGATTCATTCAATAATATGATTAATTTTTATTAGGTAATTCTACTAGAATTATCTTTTGTCATTTATTATTTTTTTTATGTAGTTGGATTCAAGGAGGATGTAACAACATTCCCTCATTTATTGATGATGATAACATTTGTTTTCCTTGTGGATCATTTATTAAACTCTTTAATATGAAAGAAGGTACAGAGACAAATATTTCTTCTCCTGGAGATGGCATTAGTTTCCTTACGTCAAATGAGCTTTTAAATGTCATAGCCATTGCTGAATTAACAATAATGCCAAATATATATATTATGCAATATCCATCCTTTCAAATAATTGGAATTTTAAAAAGTAAGTTTTCTTTGATAAAGCTTTTTTAAAATTAATAATACATAATATTGTGACCTTCCGGGTCGGCACCTCCTTAGTGCCCAGTCAGGATTGACACCACCGTGTTTAGAGGAACACGGAAGCCGAGACGGCGATTTCGTCGTCCGTCGCGCGAGCGGTCCCGTACGCGAACAGTCGGATTCGACAGGTCAGAGTTAACATAGGGAAGAGACTCGAACTATCCTTAACAATCAACAAAGGGTTTATTAAAAATTTAAATGGAATAAAGTGTGGTCGCGGAGAGAGAGAGTTTACATACGATTCGCGTGGCGATAAATACCTGACAGGTTATCTTATGGATCGAGGTCTTCAAACCGCTGGTGACGATGTCACTTTCAAGTTCTGGGTTACGGAAATATCCAAATAGGCACTTAAGTTCGTTGTTACGGTATAATCCAAATAGGCACTTAAGTTCGTTGTTACGGAATAATCCAAATAGGAGGTATTGAACGGGTCTGGTGGATGCTTCTTTTAGAGGAACGGCAGCGACTGTGTCGAAAACCTCCGATTGTCGCTATTTTCATTTGACAGTTTAGCAATAATAGGTCAGAAGGTTATGTGAAAGCGTCTTTTCGCGACTGAGAACTGGCTGAGTAATTAACTCCCAGGTGTGAAATTTGATACTTTCTAGATAAACTTATTATTGTTCACGAGTTAGGTCAGGCCGTAGGTTAATAAACACGGCTGAATCTCACAATATACTGAAGATTGCTACTCAAATTGTAGTCCATGGATCAGTGCTGGTTCAAAAACAGTTTATTACTTGACCATAATGAGATTTCAGTTAAATTTCATAATTCTATGTACAATAAAACTAGTCTAAAATAGAACCTAAATAAAATGGAAATCTGCTTTAACTAGTGTTACCACCTGTCCGGTTTTCACCTGGACAGGTGGTAATTTTGTCCAGGATATTCCCGGACAAAATTAGTAGTTCACCTGGACAGTGAGTCGATTTCCAGACTGTCCGGTTTTCACTTGGACAGTCTGGAAATCGACTCACTGTCCAGGTGAACTACTAATTTTGTCTGGGAATATTGTGTGCAACCTGTCAACTTTTTTTTTTTTTTTTTTTTTTGTACGATTTGTATTTGTAAACATCTCCAATATCCAATATAGCTAATCATCGGTAATTGTTTTTCTTAATTTAGTTACTTACACTACTCTTACCCAAGTCTCCCTAGTCCCTAACTGTAATTGATTTAGAACCGGCATGCACTGCACATTACTCTTTGCATTGCAAAATGACATTGCTCATGCATCAGGAACTTCTGTTCGAACAAACCTCACCTGCCATCTGGGTCAGCGATTTTGAAAAGGTGGCAACACTAGCTTTAACAGAAAAAAATTCTTTGGAACGGAGTAGTGTTGCCACCTTTTGAAAATTGCTGACCCGGACGGTACATCAGGTTTGTTCGAACAGAAGTTCCTGACGCATGCACAATGTCATTTTACAATGAGCAGAATAACGTGCATGCCAGTTCTAAACCTGTTACAGTTAGGGATTAGGACTTGCGTAGGAGTAATGTAAGTAACCTAAATTAAGAAAGAACGAGTACTGATAACTTAGCTCTATTTCAGATGTGTACGATCATACAAGAAAAAAAAATGTCAACAAGGTTGCACACCACACGTTGGCATAAACAGACTAACATGGCAGAATTGCAGATGAGTTTCAGTGAGTGTGGGTTTTTTCGCTGTTAAAATAGTGTAAATTTGTAAAAATATTTGAAAGAACTTTGTTTCATTGTAATTTCACAATTTCTACAAAATTCCCAGACAAAATTAATAGTTCACCCGGACAGTGAGTCAATTCCTGGACTGTCCGGGTGAAAACGGACAGGTGGTAACACTAGAACAGAGTGATTTTCTTTGTTAAATCGTACTGTAAGCTTGTTGAACATGGATCCCCATAATCAAGAACATTCTTCACGAACTGGATACCACCAGCTGCCCCTCGCTCGTGCTCCGTTGGGTCAGGGGTCATAGCGGTGTAAAAGGTAATGTTCAAGCGGACCTGTTGGCTAAAAAAGCTATTACGAACCTCAACAACTGTGCCTACAATAGGATCCCGCAGTGCTGGGTCTCTAGGCAGCTGCACTCCTACATAATCGACCAGTGGGAATACAAATGGATGAGTAGTACTACCGGGAGGACCGTGTTCCAGTTCATCCCCTCCGTCAAGAAAAGGCTACACTACCACCATCTTGTCCCCACCTACGAACTTACCCAGCTCATTACGGGCCATGGTAATATGGGAAGCTACCTTGTTCGTTTCCTAAATAAAGGGAACGGCCTGTGCTCCTGTTCATCCATGACATGGGAAGATAGTAATCACATTCTCTATGACTGTCCTAACTATGATAGGGAGAGAAGAACTCTCATTGCCGCAGCTTGTGAAGAAACCATCCCTTGGCCTTGTAAGCCGGACAATCTCATCAGTAATAAAAATCTTTATAGTGCCCTCAATAAGTATGTGAAAGAAATTAAAGTCTTTTCGTGAGCTTGGGCCAACCTCTGTGCTCTCGGCCCTCTTGCACTCTATGGTATCTTATATCCTTCCCTCCTCTGAGAAGGTTTTCTTTGTTTCCTGCCCTTCCTGCCACTGTGTATTGGTACTGTATCGGCAATGCCTTCATCTTCGCGCTACCCAATGTAATCGCGTCTCCCAACGCGGGTTTGGGCCAATTTCTGTTCCCTCGGCCCCATCGGTTCCTGTTTGTACTGGGTTGTTGGTGCCTAACCTGCGCGGCTGTTCTCCTACCCGCTCAACCCCCTTAAGGGCTTTTGTACCTTTCTAGCCAGTCCGCATGGCACTGGAATTAGGAGCCTCACGCGAATTTATGTATTTGTTTTTGTAATCTTGTCGGGATATCAATGTAACCTGTGTTCATTGTGTTCTTTATTGTATATATTTTGTGTTCAATAAACGGCCCCGATGCCGGACATCATGGGATCCCATTCTTCTTTCCCTTCATCCCCTTTATCCCCACCCCACCCTTCTAACCCCACCCCTCTCTTCACACTATTACCCTCTCCTCCTCCGGCTATGCCAAATGGTTCGGCCATCTCTGTCTTCAACCTGTTCAACCTGTTGAACATGGAAACAGAAGAGGATTTTGGATACAAAGAACTTAGTTTAACCTGGATAAAGTGGAAAATTAAAATTTCACTTATAGATATAAGTGAAATCACCTCCAAGTATAACAGCCATTGCAGAACTTAAACTGTATTTTGAAAATAGGTTTGAACGTTGTCAGAGAAACAAAGGTTATGTGACATGGAAACATATGGACACACAGTCTTTATTAATATCAGTTTTTGTTGCAATTAACCAGGGACAGAATTGAATACTTTCAAAAATCAAAAAATTGACTTGTTTGCTATAGTGTTAGCTCTGCTGCTTCTTGCCTGTGTTGGTGAGCTTTTTTCTGAGGTGTACTTTTGTGTTTCTTGGGCTCTATTGAGTGTTTTTTCCTGCTGTTTTTTGTCATTTTAGTTAGTACTTGTGTTACTACCTACATTTTGAGTCAGTTTTTTGTTCTCAATAGGCTAGATTTTTCATTTTCACATGTTTCTCATTTGTTTGGCTTAGCAGTTAGGCTTACCAGTTTCTGTTTTGGCTTTGCCAGACAGAAACAGTTAGGTTTGTTTTTATTTAATCAATTTAAATTTACTTTTTTTTCAACTTCCACTTGATCACCTTCTTGTTTTTGGCTGGCTTTTGTAAATTTCCAATTTTTAGTGTGTTTTTTAGTTAGTTAGTCTTGTCTTTTAGTGTAGGTCTAAGTTAGATAGTTCTCTTTTTGTAGTTAGTTAGGTCTTTAGGTGTTTAGCTTCCCCTATTATTTTGGTTTTTCTCAGTTAACTAATTTTCGAGTTTTTTTGGTTTTTCTGAGTTGTTCTTTAGCTTTTTTTGTTGTAAGTTCATAGTTAGGCCTTAATAGGCCAGTTTTAACTGCCTAGCCATTTTCATATCTTTTTCAGTGTTAGTTAGTATTTTGGCATTTTTGTGGTTTCTGTTTTTTGTAGTTAGTTTTTCCTTTGTAATTCGTTCTCTTAGCAGGTGCTTTGTTCCCCCTGTTAGTTTCGTCTTTCTAGGTTTCCAAGCTTTTTTGGGTTTTTCAGTTATACTGCTTTGCAGTATTTCAGTTTTCAGCTCTTCTGTTCTTTTCCTGGGTTTAAGTTACATATTATTAGTTTTAAGGTAGTTAAGTAGTTTTAGAATCTTTCTAGATGGTGTATCCATGTAGTTCTGAAAACACTGAGGCCAGGAGCCCATGCTTGGAAGTCTTGTCGGTTCGTAAAAAGCTTAAGGAGCTTTTGGACATTATTTTGGGAAACTGTCCAGAAGAATGCAGCTCTGCTGTTCGGAAAGAGAACAGAACAAAAATTTGTGAAGCTACAAATGATCTTTTCTTGCTAGCAGATGAGACTATCTGAGCGTCGGTTCATTCGTTTATTTTCACACTCTCTGTCCAGCTGTTAATAGTATTAAGATTTGTGATTGTATTCAGTTTTATTAGTATTAAGTAGATATAAGTTTCCTACTAACAGCCATTTGGCACTAACTTCTACACTTAGCTATTTGTGGCGGCACTCAATTATTGGTGTTCGCTACACTCGGGTCTACTTTTAGAACTTTTGGGAGACTATGGTCTTGCAGCATAAAAACTGCACACCAACATCAAACATAGAGGGTACTGTAGCCATACGTATGCCATTCAGAGGGATCCTACCTTTCTCTACTGTCTATCTCCTCTCCCTCCTTCTTTCCCCTTTCTCCCTTACCCTCTTTTCTCTGGCTAAACACTTCAAGTACAGCCAATGTCTTTCTTGTATGTATGTATAGTGTCAGCTCATAAGAATTGCATTTGAGAATTCTTGTATTTAAATAGATAGCATAAGTTCTTCAGAACAGAGTTTTTGCAATCAAATAGTTCTCAATTGCATTTGAGTACTTCCATCTCTAGTTAGAATCACTTTGGATTAAATCTAGTAATAAAAATTTTTTTCTAATTAAAAGTGATACATGAATGGTATAGTTTAAAGATTAAAATAGAAATGAAATACTAAGACCTGTTCAAAGTAGAAACCTGCCAAAACAGAAAAAATAATTTAATACTATGCAATTCCAGTTGCACATGTTTTAGAGTATTATGTTAATAAAAATGATTTAAAAGTCTTTAGGTCATTAAAAAACATATTATTTTATTACTTTTGTTTTTCGTTATTATTTAAACACATAGTACCAAGGATGAACTGATGATTGAAATAGACTTAGGAAATTACTTAAAAACAAATGACAAACCCATTTTTTCAAAATGATTAGAACAAATTTTTTTATTGTATTTTTCTCACTAATTTTGTCTAAAAATTAAAATAGATGAGCAATTACCTGTACTTATTGTGACATTGTCACAGTACTGGGCTGCAATTTTTTGTTATAGTGCATTTAAGTTTAGTAGTGTCTTGCCACTGTACATCACACTTTTCCTGCTAACAATGAAGTCATGCCAGTCATGTATCTAACTCCATTCAGGAGAAAATTTTTTAATTGAAATAATGAGACTTCTGGCCCAAAGCAGAAGTTTGTATATAGTTAATTGGGGCCTCGTGCCCCTTAGCTTTCCGTATCTGGTCTTGATTTTCATCTACCTAACACCGTTCTCAAGATTAATGAAGGAAGGATAGACAGATGGACAGACAGATGGCAATGGGAATTTAGAAATCTACAATTTTTTCAAATTACAGCCCAAGAAAAAAACTGCATTTGAACTCTATTTTCATTTTATAATTATTTATTTATTTATTTTCACAAAGTACTGATCCACAAAGGATTGAAATGAAAGAAAACTGATCCACAAACACAAAAGCTTTGAGAACTGCTGTAGATGATTTAATTATTATACAATATTATATATTTTAGATGGAGCTACACTTGAATATTTATATTTGGAATTTGTTTTTGATGAAAAATTAATATCTCTTGGAGGCATACCCGATTTTAAACTTACAATATGGTAATATTTTATATATTTAAGAATTTTTATTATAAAATAAGAAAATATTTAGCTGTTAAATTTATATTAAATTATGTAACAAAATATAATTTTGTTTGTATTTAGGAAATGGACTACCCAAGAAGTTTTATGCACTATGGAAAATTATTTACCATCTTATGTTTTATCTAAAACTCCACCTTTAGTTCAAATTTCAATGAATCCTTTAACATATAAGAAAATTTGTATGACTTATCCAGAAAAACTAATATTTTTTGAAGTTGAACAGTTTGCTAATGATTTTGTGATGAATAAATGGTAAGTTATAATCATTTTATTAATAATGATTTTAATGTGATAAAGTAAAATACAAGTAAAATTTGGAATTTTTTAAAATACAATATTTTTATTAAGTGATGATTTAAAATGTTACTTAAATTTCAGTCCATTAGCATTGAATACTTTATCTGACAAAAAAATAAATTCACTGAACAGATTTTATTGAAGTCCATTACTAATCCATTTTATTGAAGTTGAATTGAAGATTACTGTAACTGAAGGGTCGGCACCTCTTTGGCGCCTTGTCAGGACTGACACCACTGTGTCCTGCTTGACATGGAAGCTGCGACGACTGTTTGGTTAGAAAAATAGGTCATGCAAGCGGTTGCGTAAATGAGCAATCGTATTCGGGATGGAGACCACGAGTTAGTAAGCAGGAGGGGACTCAAGCAGAGACTAGATTAACTAAACAATCGTTTATTTATAAAGGAAAAGGAATTAGATGATGTTTACATCGTACTATATCAAAATAACGGACCTATATACAGTAGGAGGTCGCGAGAGAGAGAATTTACATGAGTATTGCATCGCGATAAATACCTGTATTTGAAGGATTTGGTTGTCGTGTTCCAACTGTGAAAGTTCATCTTCGGTAGGGTTGCCGTGCAGACAGTTCGAAATTAGACAACTTGGAGATTTGGCAATATCCGTTAGTGGGATAGGTGATATTTGTTGCTGGAGGAATCTTTGTATTGAGAATGGGCAAGGTATCCGTTAAGGTAATATAGGAGGTCCTGAACTGGCTAACAGATTAGAGGCTCTGATGACGACTATCCTTTGGGATTGGCCAGCGACTTCTTATCTTGGGAAGAACTAAATGCTGACTGACTCTTCAGCGTTAATTATGCTATAAGTATGATATTGCCCAGCTAAGTGGTCAGCAGGTTACAGGAATGCGTTGTTTTTGCTGTTGAGAAAGTGTAAGTGGAGATTCTCTCAGGTAGTAGATGACAACAATTATTGAACAAGTATGATGACTTCGACAATCGATTTTTGTTAGAATTTGGACTATCATATTACTAACAAAAAATTATAGACTACTTTAATGTTTATTAAGGATTAACTAGTCACTTTTGTTACTCAGCTGAACTAATCAATGCATCTTTAACAATGGTTGAAGTTTAAAGAACACTAATGTTTTCAACTTAATTAAGGGTTCATCTTCATGCATTCATTATTCTGTTCTAAAAACGGTTCTATAAAACCTGATGATGATCTATGAGAGTAGGCTGAAAACATTTGTTAAAAAAATTCTCTCAGCAAATGCACAGGTATTGTAGTAAGTTTATAATTTATCTCTGCTGAGTACTTCTGGACTGTACTAATGTTAAGTATTTGATTATTTGAGTTAACATTACTTATGCAAAATTTTGAGCTTTTATTAGATATATATTAATCATATATTTAAGAATATATTTTAAGAATAAATGACTGTATTTTATAGTATTTAAAATCATATAATTATAGATTAGTTTAAATAATGATTGTAAATATCTAATAATATAAAAAAATTTTCATGGGTATTGATATCAGATCATTAAGTATTAAAAATTTTGTCTACGATAATTCAGTTACCTGTAAAATTAAATTAATTTCAGTTGTGAAAATCATTAATTTGTTATAATGAGAAAAAATAATGTAAAAATGAATACAAATACTAAATATGAAATCAAATACAGTCTTCTATTAACTAGATAGTCCTTATAGTTTGAAATTAGTCAAGATTATATACAGTGTTTTAAGGAAATATATTGGAGCCAAATGATTTTGTAGAATCTTGTGCTTATTCAAGAAGTTAACTGTTAATTTCAATTTAGCATAAGTTTGCTTTTATTACAAACTTATCATGCATGAACTTTTCAGAAAAGACTAATGGTAAAAATTAGACTTTATTCTGTAATCAAAAAAGTTTATTTTTTTACCATTTGCCTGGAAAGTTCTTGTATGATAAGTTAATAATAAAAGCAAATGTATACTAAACAAAGATTGCAAATATGATAAAACAAAAAAACTGTAGAAACAACCATTAATTGTTATTTAGCTGAATACATGAAATAAAATCAATATATTCTGAATTAATATATTTTTCACAAAATATTTTATTAAGATTTATTGTTTTAACATGAAATTTTCTTGAAGAATACACTAAAAAACTAGTAAACGAGTTCTATAAAAATTTTGCTATTTATTAATAACAATCAATAAATATTAGTATTTCTTTTGCAGTTCATGTATGTTACCTGTTGAAAATGAAACTGAAGTGATTTCTTACTCATCTAATGGGGAATTTCCAAAACTGGATTTGTTTTTACAAATTGATAATTTAGATTCAAAAAATATGCTTATTAAATCTCTGGTTCAAGTGCCACTTTCTGCTAGTACAGGAATGTCAGATGATAGTCTTCAAGATTTTTTAAATCATACTTATGGAAAATATCAAGTTATTCCAACTTGTCATTGCTGGCTTAATGATGGGAGTGTTCTAGTTAGTTGTAAAGATGGTAGCATTTTACAGGTGAGTTTGATATATTATGATAAATTTGATAAATTATGATAAATGACAATTTTAAATATATATTTAATTTAAATTTAAAATTTACGTACTGGAAATTATTGAATTTAATTCTTAGAAATGTAATAATAGAAAATTTTATTTCATTTACATACAGTATGACAAATAAAATATTTATAAAAAGATATTTATTTATAAATATCTTTTTATATCATATTTAGCTTATATAACCTATATATAATCTATAAATACTCTTTGCAGTTAAATTTTCAATTCAGTGTGGAAGTGAATGTGTGCTAATTTTTATACAATCCTGTTCAGGTTTTTTAATATGTTTGATAAATAATATATGTGAGACTTTTCTTTGCCTTTTGAAAAACTTTAATTGCGGTAAGAAAGATTTGGATAACAGGAACGTTTTAAGGAATACAAATTAGATAAAAAAATATTGTGATTATTATAAAAAACAAATGTAGGACTTCTTTTTCGTCTTTCGCGCATTTTTTTCTCAACTGTCGTCTTCTCTCGCGAAGTCGCGTCTCATCCCGCTCTCATCGTCTCACCGGCAGATGGCATTTCACTCTTCACATATATTGATATAACATAATAAAAAACCTAAACAGGATTGTATAAAAATTAGCAATTAGCTTTTGTAAAAATAATGTATAGTATGTAAGATGTCCAAAAATATTTTACTTAATTTCTCATCATGTTGCACACACTGATTCAACAATTTTCAATTATAAATTTTCAAATTCTCTAGCTTTTATTTTTTTTTGTTCACTGTATGTAATATAAACTAGACTATTTTATTCTTAATTAGTTTTTGTTTTTTTCTTTTTCTTCTCTTAGGCTACCCTTCTAATGCTTTAACAATTTTAACGATTTTTCAGGAACTAGTTTCTCTTTAATGATATGTCTAGCAAATTTGATAGTTATAATTATTATTTATTCTTTCATCTTTTTTTTCTTCTTTATTTTGAGTATATTATATTCATTATGAAAGATTTGATTCTTTGTTTGTAGTTCTCCGCTACTTAATCTCATATATTTGTTCTGATTGTTTATGTATTTGTATATAGTTACATCTATGTTTGGGGTTTTTTGTTTATTCCTTTTTTTTTCTGTAGGGTTTATTCCCTTTCTGTTGTATTGGGTCTTTTTTTATTTTGTTATACATGGCCCTTCTTTTGTTCTATATCACCTTCTTTTTGGGTTGGTGGAAGAAGCCACAAGATATGCTGGATGGTAAATCACGTGTAGAATACTGACATCCAACCTTGGGAGATATAAATAGCAGTATGGTGTGTGAAGTGGTACCTTTTTCCTTTTGGTTTTGGCCTCATCTGTGAAACATTTGGAAGACAGGTGTTAATGAGTGGTACAAGAGTCCATCCAGGATGGAGAATCAAGACCAGATTCACGAGACTATCTTGCGAAAGAAACATAATCTGTTCCCATTGACTTGATGAACTCTTAATTTTAAAAAAGAACTATAATAGAAAGGAAAAGAATCAATGTGAGGATCGCCCAGATATATTATTCTTCATGTGGGATGATTAATGGAGCATGTCTCTGTTCCAAAATAAAGGAACATGCTGTGAGTAGCCCGGGTTTATGTTGATCCCTCTTTTGTTAATTTTTTAGTCTTACCTTGTCACATGTGATTGTAAGGTGATCCCGTGGATCGTGTATTAATGGAATTTTGGTGGAAGGAGAGTGAAGGTGATTTCCTTGTAATGCAAGTTTCATGGCTTATGAGGATTAATACCCTATGTATTTCCTGCTTGTTAATTATTTCATTATTATTAAAGAGGTTTGTTTGATGTAAGCTGATGTGTTGTTCTTTTATCTAAACCTGTAGACACAGGTCTAACTAGGGTTCCAAAAGTTTATATACTCGTAATTCATGTGTTGCAGTTATGCACTTGTTTTTGCAGATGATTATTGGGCTGCAATTTTCAAAAATTGTACTATAAATTTCCACTGTAATTCATCTGATGTCTGCTTGTCCTTCCTTAATCTTGAGAATCGAATTAAATAGATGAAAGTTTAGACCCAAAATAGAAAGCTTAAGGACAAAAGGCTTAGTTAACTGTATATAAACTTCTGGTTTGGACTGGAAGTCATGTTATTTCAATTCAAATATTTGGAGTTAGATGACCAGCATGACTATTGTTAACAGGAAAAGTGTCATGTATAGGGGTAAAACACTATTAAAACTGAGAACATTATGATGAAAAATTACAGCCCAGCATTGTGACGATATCACAATAAATAATTGCTGATTGTTTTTAGCTTCAGTTTTAACTTCATGTCTTCTCATTATATTCTTGTAAACTTCTCTTTTGATTTTAAGATAGTCAGATAGTCAGCTGGGATATAATTATTGTAAAAAAAGATATTGGACATTGATGAATTGTGTGACTACTGAATCGCATGCTTCATTCCTAATAATCTGATATGATGTGACACAGGACAATGCATTAAAAACACACACATTCTACCTGAAACTAAGGCAGGTGCTACTTAGTATGTACAGATGAGATTAGTTGACTTCTGGAAATATTTGGTGATGAGATGTCTGTGGTAAAAGAATAAACAAAATTGGACAATTTTTGCTTATTTTCACCACAATCAAAGCATTTTACTAATTAAAAAAGGAGTAAAGATTACCGTCATACAAACAATAAAGAGGAGAGAAAATTTCTCTTAAGAATTCTGTTTTTTTAAATTAAATGATTAAAAAGTGGAGAATGTTTTATTCAATTTAATTGACTCAATGAAACTAGATTTTGACATGTTTCTTTATTGTACAGAAGTATGTTTCCATAAAATTATGGCGTAATTTTTTTACATGACATTTTGCAATGAATTTTTGAACAAATCAAAATCTATTACTTTTAACAGAAAACATGCTCCTTTCCTCAACAAATTGAATAGGAATTCAAACACACTACATTTACATTTGAATCCAAGAATATAAAATGCACTTATTAAATTTCTAAATTAGCATATCTTTAACTTTATAAATGAAAAAAACTTCAATAAAGAAAAACACATGAAATTACTTGCAATAGCTGCAAAGCCTCATCTGTCATAATGATATGCATATCACAAATGGGAATAAAACTAAGTGTTGCCAAGGTAGTGTGAAAGTGTTAAATATATCACTTATGCATTCACAGATGGAGACTAGGATACTTTACAAGTGAGTATAAATCATACACAACTACTTTGATCCGTTTCAAAAACACACTGAACCAAAAAGTGGCGGGCTTGATAGAGATGCCACCCCATGGCCGTTTATTTATTAGTAAAATAAAAATACAAACAAAGGACATATAACATAAATCATTGCCACACATATAGGTAATGACAGGAGAGAAATTTAACAGAAAGAAACAAACTTTTAACTGTTTCCTTCTTTATTTTCCAGCAAAAGTTTCCAAGATTAATGTAACACTTGTTTAAAAAACAAGTGTTATATTAATCTTGGAAACTTCTGGTTTGCAATAAAAACAAATGCTTGTTGAATTAGTTTTGTTTTAAAAGTCATTGCATCGAAAGAGGAATTGGAATTCAAGCTTCTTGCAAATGGTGTCAAGAAACTTACCTTGAGGAATGTGTAACTCCAACTAATAGGCAAGCAAAACAGTTAGAAAACAAGTGAAACAGTTTGTCAACCCGAAACTTTCCACTCTAAGAAGTAAGAGAATCTCTTCTGCATATTCAAAAAGGATTACATAGTTCCTGTTAAAGAATAAGTGATCTGTAGGCAAAATCTTACCCTGCAATGTAATTAACTGCCATGTGCTTGTTTTATACCTGATGATCACTCACTGTTTTTATTAAGAAGAAAAATGTGATTGTCTTGTACATGTTGTTCAAAATATTTATTAGATTCCTTTCTTTTTAGTACACAGAAAGGATCAGACAATTCATATCTCAGGATGAATTTTGCAATCTTTAGTTTCATATTGTTCATTCAAACCTTATGGCCTGGCAAAGTCAGCCTTCCAATGATTGCATGTGTCAATCTGTAGGAGGATTTATATGATCCATTAGTGACTTATCTGTGCATTTAGCAAATATCCAAAAACACCTTTTTTAAGTCCTCTGTCCTTTTAGGCTCCTAAAGAACCATGGCCCTATTTCTTTACCTAAAGGCCTCCAAAAGAAATTAACCCTTTTCTTCACAAATATATGGATCTACTAATGCATCCTGGAAGAAAAGGCCAAAATTTGTTGAAAAAAATTAAACTCAATGATAAGATACTATTCATTTAACATATGTGCCACAAGCCAAAGAATTATGTACATCTGTTTGCATGTTGTCATAATTCATTGCATCATGTTGGTGTGATCAAGGATGACATAACTCTCAATGCCAGATATTACATTTTCGTTTTTGCTGTCTTTCTCCTTTGTTTAATATAGTTTGTTGTTTTCTATCTATACAGTCCAAAGTTATGTTAAAATTGTTACAAGTACCAAAGTGAAATAAAAATAATAATTATGACTTATGTTATAAAATTAGCATATATGTCAGGGGTGGCCAACCTGCAGCTCGCGAGCCACATGTGGCTCTTTGAAGGATTATTTGTGGCTCTCGATAAATGTATCGGAGTTCCCTTTTCATTTTTGTGTTATTATATTTTAAAAACATTATTATCGTTCCGTATGTGTTTCAAAATGTCTTTTAAATTACTAACAACAAATATGAAAGACTAAGTGCAACGTTGTAACAAATTTCATTTTCGTCCAAGTTAAGAATGATATGACTCATCGAAAACTGTGCAAACGAACATGAACAGTGGCGTAATCGTCCGTTATCGACCGACTCCAGACCAATTTTGAATTTGTAAACTGTCATTGCAATGGACATTGTGCTCTGGAGGAAACAATTTGTAACACTCTTGCTACGGATATAATTTGTGATCTGGAATTTTTTTGCATACCTTTTTAATACGTATTTAATTGCGGCTCGCGAAAAATTTCAAATTTTGAAAAATGGCTCGGACTATCAAGGAGCTTGGCCACCCCGGATATATGTCATATTAAATGAAATTATTTGAAAAATTTATCTATATAAATTTTATAACATGTCTAAATTTTTATGATGATAGGTGAACAGTGAAAATTATTCTGTAAAGAAAATATATTCTGTTATCTGGCCACATTTTCAAGAAGATCAAGATGATGTAGGACCAGTAATTAGTATGGCTCTTCATGCTGTTGGATTATATTTGGCAGGAAGAGTATGAGTTATGAGATTATTTAAAAGAAAGGATTACATTAGTCTTTTTTTTAAAAACTTGTTGGGCTGCAATTTGAAAAAACTATAAACCTATAAATTCCCATTGTTATCTGTCTGCTGCCTATCCATCCATCTTTCTTTAATCTTGAGAATGGAGTTAGATAGGTAACAATGAGACTAGATATTCTTCTAAATATCACTTTTGATAGCTGTTGTTATGTTCTGTAGTTCCTAAGGATCACCACGGTGATCCAGAACGTGATGTGAGTAAGAAAGTGAGGACTTTACAACGAATTGGGATAAAGAAACTTTATATATAACTAATACCATACAATAGACATGAATTAATTTCCCTTTTTAGCATCAGGCTCACGTAAACTCCGTTATTCCCGATATTACAATCTAGTCCAATATTCATGAGCCCCGTTATCAATCGCTCACGGAAGTCTTACAGATGAATTACACTGCAGATCCGCACCACAATAATTCACGTATCTAGTCGTCTCCCTTGTAAGTAGATGATATTCGAATGGAGTTGCGACCACGTGGCAACTAACAGAAATTCTCTCCTCGGATCGAAATAATGGGTTGTGAACAACAGGTTGACGGTGTTCAATTATCTGACCTAAATCAGACAATTCCCTAAAGTCCGCCGAGTCCGATGTAAACCGATTGCTTCACTTACTATTCACTCCGTTCTAACTTACTGCTTCTCTGTCCGTCACAGGCTCGGTTTCCGACTACCTTCATCCGTGTCCTTCCGCAGTCCAGCCTTCACACAGGAGCCAGTCCATAACCAAAAACCAACTCTCCGCTCTCGTCACTCGTCACCCCTTTTATTCCTTTCTCTAAGCTCCTCCTTTCGCCTCCACGTGGTCACCAAAGGGGCCAATCATAGCACTTACAAAATCCACCATAAGGTGGCGCGCGATACAAAATTTTCAAATTGAACAGACAAAGAACACGAGAACCCGAACAAAGGCGCGACAACGCATACATAAAAAATAAAAATAATAAAAATATAAAACAATACAAGTGCCTAGCACTACATACCTCCCCCACTAAATTCCAGAACCAAAATGCAATTTTCTAAAGTTAATCTTTCTATCTCTCAGATTGTAAGGTCGCGATTCTCTAGCAGTGGTCTTACAATTACCATCAGTCGCCTCACTGACCTCTCTGGTATGTCTCCTATAACGACACCTATAAATATCCCGCACGTCGATATTCTCGCCGTCCTCATCCGACTCCGGATCCGTTAATTGCTGTTTACGAGAACGACGCCTTCTGAGGGTGCGTACCCAACCATAGCAAGGCTTAAGCCTGTCAACGTGTACATTTTCGATGTCTTGCTTATCACACCCTTCTACCTTATAAGTCATGGGGTTTATTCTTTTTAAAATGCGAAAGGGACCCAGATAGTTCAGGGCGAACTTATTCCTCTTGACACCCTTCCGTCTTATCCATACCCTTTGTCCCTCATTGAAAGTTAATAACTTCTTCCCTTTATTACGGGAATCAACCTGTCCCTGTGCCAACTCCTTTGCAGCACGTAAATTAGTAGGTATGAATGATCTTCGTTCGTCCGTCGTCATTAGATTAGGCATATAATTGTACGGTATCCGGTACTGTCTAATGTTTATAGGCTTATTAGCATTAAGTTTAACGCGGTGCGTATAATTCGTCGCACCAGAGAGATCAGTGATGGTTTTCGCGACCGCGTCAGGGAATTCACTCGGGGTCTCACTCACTCTCTCCTTCACTTTACCTCGTAGATGGTCGAGTTTCCCTACCCCCTCAATTTTTCCAACACTCTCGTTGATATTTATGTTGACTTCGCTTCTACTCTCTGATTCCCTAGATCTTATTATGGGGGCCACCTGAGTCAGAATTCCTGGATACATCCTAATGATGTCAACTCCCAAAATCAGATCATAAACAGCACCCTCAGGAAACTTTACGCTGGGAATCTCGATCTCATGCATACTCCCATTACTATAACTTAACTGTGTTGCGACCGCCTCCTTACTATTAATAATGGCTCCAGACATTCCAACTATACGAGAGTCATTATGCACCACACATTCGTTCCTTTTTGATGCTACCCAGTTGGCTAATTCCAACTTTATCACCGTTCTCTCCGCGCCTGTGTCTATAAGTCCCTTCACCTCACGTCCTAGTAATTTACATATAATGACCGGCAACCCGTATCTCGTCAGGTCCATTCTATTGGTCAGAGTTAGTTTAACATAACGGTCATCGGTCTGACCTTCCAGATGACCGCATGCTAGTTTCGACCCTTTGCGCTGATCACATTGTCTAGCTAAATGTCCCTGTCCACCACAAGTGTAACACCTTCTACCCTCTCTATTAGCTCCATGTTGTCTTCCGCCTTCCCTTAATATTTCACATACAGATTTCATGGACTCATTCAACTGTTTTACCTGGTTTTCTAATTCATCTATTCTTTGGTCCCTCTTGATTGGGTCACTTTCGTGATTTACATTCGCGCAAACTCCACTAACCTCTGCCTTTCCACCACATATTACCTCGACCTCTTCTTCGACCTCAGCTAGGGCTATTGCTTCATCTAAGGTTTTTGGGTGTTTTTGCATGACTTGTCTCCTAATTTCAGGATTTAATCCCTTAATAAAACTTTCCTTAACAGTATTATCCCTTAGCATTTCTACGTTCGGGTTGTAGGTTATGGCTCTAGAGAGAAGAGTCTTCACCCTCACACCATACTCATATGCCCTTTCACCCCTCTTTCGCGTTACCTTAAGAACTAAACTAAAGGAGTTCCGTTCACTCTCCTTGTGGCCAAAGCATTTCACAATCCCCTCCTTTAATTTTTCATAACCTTCTACCCCTTGCTCCTTTAGGTCAAAGAATATCGATAGCGGTTCGCCCTTAAGTCGTGCCTGAACGACTGCCACCATAACCGATTCTTCCCACTTGGCTAACTTCGCTACGTTCTCTATCGTTTTGAAAAATCTGTTCACATCTAATGTATCCCCCGGCAGGTTTGAGAGGCATGGGATCATCCCCACGAACCCCGTTACAATCGGTGGTACACTACCGGTTCCGGATACCTCCGGTTGCTGGGAACCACTCGTTATCTGGTCCTCCATAACAAATAAATTTCTAAGTGTCCCGTTTAGAATATAGGAAGCAAGCAAGTCGTTCTATCAATACGTACAGATCTAGTACTCTTACAATCATTTCTTACCCAGGAATTAATCCTGTCGCGGACGCCAATGTAGTTCCTAAGGATCACCAAGGTGATCCGGAACGTGATGTGAGTAAGAAAGTGAGGACTTTACAACGAAATNGACATTGTGCTCTGGAGGAAACAATTTGTAACACTCTTGCTACGGATATAATTTGTGATCTGGAATTTTTTTGCATACCTTTTTAATACGTATTTAATTGCGGCTCCCGAAAAATTTCAAATTTTGAAAAATGGCTCGGACTATCAAGGAGCTTGGCCACCCCGGATATATGTCATATTAAATGAAATTATTTGAAAAATTTATCTATATAAATTTTATAACATGTCTAAATTTTTATGATGATAGGTGAACAGTGAAAATTATTCTGTAAAGAAAATATATTCTGTTATCTGGCCACATTTTCAAGAAGATCAAGATGATGTAGGACCAGTAATTAGTATGGCTCTTCATGCTGTTGGATTATATTTGGCAGGAAGAGTATGAGTTATGAGATTATTTAAAAGAAAGGATTACATTAGTCTTTTTTTTAAAAACTTGTTGGGCTGCAATTTGAAAAAACTATAAACCTATAAATTCCCATTGTTATCTGTCTGCTGCCTATCCATCCATCTTTCTTTAATCTTGAGAATGGAGTTAGATAGGTAACAATGAGACTAGATATTCTTCTAAATATCACTTTTGATAGCTGTTGTTATGTTCTGTAGTTCCTAAGGATCACCACGGTGATCCAGAACGTGATGTGAGTAAGAAAGTGAGGACTTTACAACGAATTGGGATAAAGAAACTTTATATATAACTAATACCATACAATAGACATGAATTAATTTCCCTTTTTAGCATCAGGCTCACGTAAACTCCGTTATTCCCGATATTACAATCTAGTCCAATATTCATGAGCCCCGTTATCAATCGCTCACGGAAGTCTTACAGATGAATTACACTGCAGATCCGCACCACAATAATTCACGTATCTAGTCGTCTCCCTTGTAAGTAGATGATATTCGAATGGAGTTGCGACCACGTGGCAACTAACAGAAATTCTCTCCTCGGATCGAAATAATGGGTTGTGAACAACAGGTTGACGGTGTTCAATTATCTGACCTAAATCAGACAATTCCCTAAAGTCCGCCGAGTCCGATGTAAACCGATTGCTTCACTTACTATTCACTCCGTTCTAACTTACTGCTTCTCTGTCCGTCACAGGCTCGGTTTCCGACTACCTTCATCCGTGTCCTTCCGCAGTCCAGCCTTCACACAGGAGCCAGTCCATAACCAAAAACCAACTCTCCGCTCTCGTCACTCGTCACCCCTTTTATTCCTTTCTCTAAGCTCCTCCTTTCGCCTCCACGTGGTCACCAAAGGGGCCAATCATAGCACTTACAAAATCCACCATAAGGTGGCGCGCGATACAAAATTTTCAAATTGAACAGACAAAGAACACGAGAACCCGAACAAAGGCGCGACAACGCATACATAAAAAATAAAAATAATAAAAATATAAAACAATACAAGTGCCTAGCACTACATACCTCCCCCACTAAATTCCAGAACCAAAATGCAATTTTCTAAAGTTAATCTTTCTATCTCTCAGATTGTAAGGTCGCGATTCTCTAGCAGTGGTCTTACAATTACCATCAGTCGCCTCACTGACCTCTCTGGTATGTCTCCTATAACGACACCTATAAATATCCCGCACGTCGATATTCTCGCCGTCCTCATCCGACTCCGGATCCGTTAATTGCTGTTTACGAGAACGACGCCTTCTGAGGGTGCGTACCCAACCATAGCAAGGCTTAAGCCTGTCAACGTGTACATTTTCGATGTCTTGCTTATCACACCCTTCTACCTTATAAGTCATGGGGTTTATTCTTTTTAAAATGCGAAAGGGACCCAGATAGTTCAGGGCGAACTTATTCCTCTTGACACCCTTCCGTCTTATCCATACCCTTTGTCCCTCATTGAAAGTTAATAACTTCTTCCCTTTATTACGGGAATCAACCTGTCCCTGTGCCAACTCCTTTGCAGCACGTAAATTAGTAGGTATGAATGATCTTCGTTCGTCCGTCGTCATTAGATTAGGCATATAATTGTACGGTATCCGGTACTGTCTAATGTTTATAGGCTTATTAGCATTAAGTTTAACGCGGTGCGTATAATTCGTCGCACCAGAGAGATCAGTGATGGTTTTCGCGACCGCGTCAGGGAATTCACTCGGGGTCTCACTCACTCTCTCCTTCACTTTACCTCGTAGATGGTCGAGTTTCCCTACCCCCTCAATTTTTCCAACACTCTCGTTGATATTTATGTTGACTTCGCTTCTACTCTCTGATTCCCTAGATCTTATTATGGGGGCCACCTGAGTCAGAATTCCTGGATACATCCTAATGATGTCAACTCCCAAAATCAGATCATAAACAGCACCCTCAGGAAACTTTACGCTGGGAATCTCGATCTCATGCATACTCCCATTACTATAACTTAACTGTGTTGCGACCGCCTCCTTACTATTAATAATGGCTCCAGACATTCCAACTATACGAGAGTCATTATGCACCACACATTCGTTCCTTTTTGATGCTACCCAGTTGGCTAATTCCAACTTTATCACCGTTCTCTCCGCGCCTGTGTCTATAAGTCCCTTCACCTCACGTCCTAGTAATTTACATATAATGACCGGCAACCCGTATCTCGTCAGGTCCATTCTATTGGTCAGAGTTAGTTTAACATAACGGTCATCGGTCTGACCTTCCAGATGACCGCATGCTAGTTTCGACCCTTTGCGCTGATCACATTGTCTAGCTAAATGTCCCTGTCCACCACAAGTGTAACACCTTCTACCCTCTCTATTAGCTCCATGTTGTCTTCCGCCTTCCCTTAATATTTCACATACAGATTTCATGGACTCATTCAACTGTTTTACCTGGTTTTCTAATTCATCTATTCTTTGGTCCCTCTTGATTGGGTCACTTTCGTGATTTACATTCGCGCAAACTCCACTAACCTCTGCCTTTCCACCACATATTACCTCGACCTCTTCTTCGACCTCAGCTAGGGCGATCGCTTCATCTAAGGTTTTTGGGTGTTTTTGCATGACTTGTCTCCTAATTTCAGGATTTAATCCCTTAATAAAACTTTCCTTAACAGTATTATCCCTTAGCATTTCTACGTTCGGGTTGTAGGTTATGGCTCTAGAGAGAAGAGTCTTCACCCTCACACCATACTCATATGCCCTTTCACCCCTCTTTCGCGTTACCTTAAGAACTAAACTAAAGGAGTTCCGTTCACTCTCCTTGTGGCCAAAGCATTTCACAATCCCCTCCTTTAATTTTTCATAACCTTCTANACCTGACAGCTGTAATGATAGTCTACCGAACTTAATGTTGGATTAAAGAGACATACATACATAGAGACTAGATATGAAAATCTTGGGGGGAGGAGGCCCCAATTAACTATATACGAACTTATGATGCAAACCGGAAGTCATGTTATTTCAATTCAAAAATTTTTCCCTGAAAAGTGTTAGATAGATGACTGGCATGACTCTATTCCCCAACTTTAGCGATTATCCTATCATAAACTATCTGCACACCTCCCTTTTTTAAAATTAAAAATTGCAGTCCAGCATTGTGACAATGTCACAATAAATAATTGCTTGTTATTATATATTATTAAATATTAATCTTGAAAAAATATATGAAGATCAACAGAAAATAAACTCGGGCACTAAAAGTCTTTTCTGAATTTGAATTTGAAATACAGTAACTCTTCATTATATCACTCATTCAGATACATTATGTTATTTATTTATTTATATATTTCTAAATATAAAAGTGTTTTAGCCAATAATTTTTAAAAAATTCATTGCCATTTCATTGAATTTTTACTGGCAAAGAAATATTACCTTATTTTATCATTGACCATGAAACTACCATTATATGAAATACAACACACAAAATTAAGATGGCACAGAGATAAAAAATAGCCAAAACACTTGGATAGATACATTGGTTATATTATGCCATCTGATATATCACTCAATTGTTTGTTTGTCTTAATTGTTAATAAAAATTAGTGATAATATTCAGGGCCGTGCCGTGCTATGATGCAGAGATGCGGCTGCATCAGGCGGCACCGTAAGGGGCGGCATAAGCAGCATTTAAGGGGTGGCATAAGTGGCATTTAAGAGGCGGCATTTCGAAGACTTGCATCATACTAAGAAAATCTACCGCACGGCCCTGATAATATTTAACAAGTTAACAATTTAGTACAAAATAACACAAAATAAAATATAGGGTAATAATCAGTTTTTGAAAAGCACAATATATTCATAATATCTTTCCAAGAGTTAAACCTTACTAAATACTTGTCCTTACTAACTTCAAATTTAACACAATGAAGAAATACATGTTTCCAAGTTTCATATACTTGCTTAATACAGTTATTACATATTTTTTCATGATCTATTGTTAATCTGCTATTATACATTAAGATATAATTTTGACCATGTCTCAAATGAAGAATTAATTGTTTAACATAATTTATATCCAATAAGCAAATAATCTTGATACATAAACGTTGTTTTATTGCTACAATATAATTGAAAGTGCTTATTTTTTTCTAACAGAGACCAATCTACTTGTATACTTTGTTCACAGCACAGGTTTTTTTAAACATGAATTGATTGTTTGCTGAATAATTACATGTTCTAACTGAACTTTTTTCTGCTCATATGTCTTATTGATAATTGATTGCTAAATTTTAAAATGTTTGTTTGATGAAAAAATGTGTATATAGCACCTACTTCACTAAGACAATGTTCTATCTCACCTCCACCCTCCCAGAATTCATATACAAAATAACCAGTACTTGTTGTCTTCTTTAGATAAAGAACTTTGTTATTTATTTGATAAATGCCTAATATACAAAAATATTCTATTATTATATATTTACACTATTTTCAATTAATTAAATGAATAATGTGATATTTTGACTCCTTTATAATATTTAAAAAACAAAATAAAGAAATTAAGAAATCTTATTTACTTGATATTAGTGCTTTGCTGAGAAGTTTCATTATCATATATTTTAAAATTTTCTAAATTTAACCAGTAGCATCCATTATGTTTTAGTTTTGTTGGATCACTAAGTTCTTAGTTTATCAGAAACTACTGTTGATTTTTTATACTTTGTTCTAAAACTTTAAGTTATATTGATTTAATATACAATTAAAAATTATACAGACTATACAAAAATCACTTATAACATTGCCCAACATCAAAATCCTGTTGAAAGTTATATAAAATAATAATAATGTATATTTATTTTATAAGTATTTTAAAAAATAATAAATATTTATAAATGTATTATAACATATTTTTCTTTTAAAAAGTTTTTAATAATAAAAAAAAAACATAATTTTAGGGAGGATTGATAATGATAATGAAAATGAAAGAACAAGCATTAGAAATGCTATATTCTTTTAACATCAATCAGACTGTTGGGAATATAAATTTCAGTTTAAGTTATCAAAGAATGTGCATTTGGGGAATTCAAGTATTTATTATACTTCATTTATCAAATATTTATTTACATGCATATATATATTTTTAATATTTAACAAAATATTTTAGGGCAGCATATATATTTTGGATATGGCAAAGTCTTTTTCAAATAATCCTGTAAATGTATGGAATAAAAATTTACAAAATATTGTAGGAGTTGGTTGCTTTGGAAATATAGAAACACATTGTATTGTAAGTTAGAATTAATGTATTAATGTTTTTAATTTGTTTATTATTATTATTTGGTTTGATTTAATTTAGGAAAAGTCTATAATGTTATTTAATTAATTTAAATATTTTAAACAATTTCAAAGATTGTCAGAGAAGATGGTATTGTACAACTGTGGAATTTAGAAAATGGAAGTTTGAGAATGGAGTTTAATATTGGACAAAATGTATGCATTATTTTAATAATATAAGTGATATTAGTATTTTAATACTTTACTAATATAGAAAACTATGTGAAATTATAATTGATAGAAAAAGTGATTGATAATAGTTATATAAATATCTTCTTAATAAATGAAAATTTATAAAATTTATATTATATTAGCAAATATGCTCATTGTTGCCTGAGTAAAACTTACACTTTAAAATTAAAACCATATTAAAAGTTTGATTATTTTAGACCAATTCAAATCAACAGCATTATTTTGGCACCATTTTCAAATCCAGAAGATGACAGTATACTCTTTGAAATGATCATAAAGAATATGATATGATTTGTGGTTCATCTGGTCCCTTTATTAATGATTACACATTACACAGTGTCCAGGTTTCATGGTGGCTTATATATTCTGTACCTTGCAGAAAATATAAGCCATTAGTGTAACTCTGAAAAATTTGATCCAGATTGGCCAAAAGGTTTATAAGTGTATAGAGGACAGAAAAACATTTTATTTTATATTATAGATATGAAAAGATATAAAAAATAAACAAATATTGAGTTAATTCTTTAGTTAATATTTATTCATGCTATTGGATTTCGTACATACTTAATAAAACAGATATCAACCTAAATTTAATATACAGTACTTATTAACAGAAAAAAATTGCTATTAGTTCAACACAGGTAATAGTTTCTTATATTTTTTTTATGTGCTATCTCAAGTCGTGACTAGTCCACCAAGAAATCAGGATTTCCTGCTGGGCTGTTTGCTGTGTGGTTCTTAATTATTATATTTTATTGTATTTCACTTGAAAAAAATAAATTAATAAACAAAATACAAGTGGTGTCTATTTTATTAAATTTAAAAAAAACTTTTTTTTGATTCAGCCCATAAACTGTATGGTAGGTTGTGTGTGAACAGATGTCCTTCTCACAGCAAATATGGTCTATTACTTGAAATTTTAAAATCATTGACTTTGATTTGGATGTGAATCACTGTGGAATAGTCCATACAAACTGACATTTTGTAACTTTTAATTTGAAAGTAATTGATTACAACTTGGGTCATTGGACCATTTTTTTTTCTGTTTTTTTTTTGACTTTTTTCTTCATATTGATTGCAGAAATGTCTTTTTCCAGCCCATTGTAGGTTTAGCTAGGCCCACAATGAGGGCAGATGAGTGATGAGGAATGGATTCAGATATATAGTATGTGAGATAGATCACCTACTGACAGACTCCTGGAGTTTTTTTGACTGCTCAAGATTCAATTACTAGAATGGTAGATTGATACCTTAACCATCTCAGCCATCTGATCAGTGTTATACATATACATATGGCCTGTATTTGGTATATATTGCTGGGCTGAAGCTCCAATGCTGCTATCTTCCATAAAAAATTTTAATATTTTCTTTTTTAGGAGGCTCCAGATAGGGCCTGAACCATTCTCTGAATGTACTAAAAATGTATTTGTTGTAGAGAATAAAATGTATAAATAGAAATGACACAAATGTAAATAATGTAAATCTGATTGAGACTTGAGTGCACATGTTAGACTTTTACCAGAAAATTTGAACCTTGACTCTGACACTTTTAGAACAGATAAAATTTGGAAAAATGGGAAACAGGATATTTTTAATGAGTGAAAAGCATTGTATTATAATTCTTGGATGACAGGAGAAAAAATATCATTGTCTAAAATATGAGTGAAAACTTCAAAATTCAATCAACATTTTTTGATCGGAGGAAAGGTGTGGCATCAAGTGAATATTGAAGATTGACCTTGTGACTTTATCTGTCTAATTTCGCTTGGAAACAAGAAAAGAACCAATCGGTAGCTGATGGGAAAGAGTAGGGATGAGTCACGAAACAAAATTCAGGAACAAACTTTTTAAAAACTCTGAATTTCAAGGGCAGAATTGGATTTATCTTTCCTAACATTAAGAATTTTCTTTTCCCAAACTCTCTGTGTGAGTTTGCTCATACATTTCTGAATTTGTGTCCTGCTATTGTTGTTTTTATTATCGAAATGCTGTTGTATCTGTCTTCACTGAATTGCAAGCATTGTCACACGTTCTCGGGCTGACTATTGCCCATCCTGTCTCTGGACTCAATAATGAAACTGCCCTAGGACCACTGACTAACCAAGGGACTTTGTCAGAAAAAAATTTAATTCTTAGATCTAAGTGGCACATCCTTTGAACAAAATTGTAAGTTTTCAGTATTACGAAATAAATGGGATTAATCTGTAAAGATACTTTGCTTCAGTGTTGTCTGCTGCATATTGTTCCTTCATTATTTGTTTTGAGCTGATTTCTAGATTTCTCCCTTTTCCTCCCTTTTTGACAGCTTCACATTTACAGTTTTATTGAGGTTATCATTTTTGAAAACATTCATTTTTATAGAAGTACACAGCCTAAATTGATATTCTTGAATCCAGTAACAACCAACTTATTTCATTTTATTTAGTCTAATATTTAAAGATACAGTACAGTATCATTACTTTTTAAATTGTTAAAGATAAGAAAAAAATTAAATTTGGAGAGTTCTATATGCTTGTTTGACATCAAGAATTTATAATTGTCTCCACAAGACATTATTTAATTAAATAAATCATTTTGCTATACTGTTGTTTAACTTTATGTTGTTTTTTCATTTGAAAGGTGGGAGTTTAACTACTCTGTCAAACACTTGTTAACATGTAATTTCGAATTCCATCCAGGATGTCACACTTTCATCTAATATATATGAGTCAAATTTGTCTAAAATGATACCTGTTACAACAATAAGCTCCAGTACAATGATAAATCTTTCGTTGTTCCAACCAAGTTGTATACAAATACTGTAATTTTTTACATGCTAGAATGATAGTAAAAATCCAGATACAATATGACTATGAGGATGTATTGGCACAACTTGTGACTGACTCAAATGCTTCATTGTGATGACCAATGCAGGAACCACATGGCAAAGAGCCAAGTTCACCTACTCACTAATTGTGTAACCTGCGGATCCTCCTCGTGCTCTGGAATGATTTACCCAAAACTAGCTAATTGGCAGTATTGCGACCATCATCACTGCCAACACAAGTCCTATTAACTGCAAGTACTTGTTTTATGTGGTTTGCTTTTTGTTTACATGCCCTTCGTGATGCACTTAAGACCTCCCGTGAAACAGGAATACAGACACTTACTCCAAATGCTTTATTTGGGGTCCTGCTTGGAATGGATGATCGCCACTCAGAAGTTGCAAAGAAATATGGCTTTGCTTAGTCAATTCTAGCAACATTTTTAAAGAAACAGAAGGCAACCTAGTGCAGTGTAGTGGATGGAAACTTAGATCCTTCTCAGAAACACCTGAAGATACTTAATGTCACAAAGATGTGAAGATGTTGACAGTGCAACATTCCATTGGTTTATTGAGATGGGCATAAAAAGTATTTAAACTATTTACTTTCTTAGTGATCTTGGTTCTTAAATTTCAAGACCTCATTGTAACAATAACCTCAGTATAACAATACTATTTTCATGATCCCCAAAATATTGTTATCGCAATGTTTGACTATATATGTATATTTTAATTAGATAGAGGAAAAGGTGGTATTATGGAACCACCCCATTTCGAACTGATAATAAAGACGAACTGTAGCGGATTGTGGCTGAACTGAACTAGGCAGACATCCATAGCAAGGGGAAAACCCGTTTCATTTCACTTAAACGGTTGTCTGTAGTGAATCAGCAAATTTGAGTTTTTCAAAATTCGAAAGTTTTGAATGCTAAGTGAATTTAATTATTTTAAAAATATAAATCATGTAGTTATAGGTTCACTGGTGCATGTATTCCGTTCTAGAGACTTAGAGGTACATATTAATCTGTGTGGTGTTCACGTTTTTTAAATTTTGGTCTTGACAGATGTAAGTTAATTCAAGATGGCAATTCCATTGGTGCTTTTAATATGGAACCCAACTCCTCTGAACTCTCTATTTGCAAGCAGACATTTGTCCAGAGCAATTTGTGAAAAAGACACTAGGTAGAAAGCCAATTCTTCCTGAGAATATCGAAAAAGAGCTGCTGGAATATATAATGTTGACGGAGGTCATATTTTTCTATTATAAAAGCATTTTTGCAATAAAATACATTAGAATAAATGATTTTGTAGTTATTTAACATTCTTTGTATTTTCTTATTTGTTTTTGGATACATTAAAGCATTTTTTGAAAACATACAGTAAGGTTCCATATTACCACCCAATTTTCTCTAAGCCTACTTTCTGACTTTTTGTACAAAAGCCTTCAAAAACCATACTTATAGTTAGACTAGCAAAAAATCCAATTAGGAACATTTAGTTTAATAGTTACCAGTACTTTTTGCACAAAAAATGTGGGTGTAGTTATGATACCTTGTTTACGATTCACTAAAATGAAAGTGGGGTTCCATAATACCACCTTCTCCGCTATAAGTGAATATTTATTTGAACTATATTTAGAAAAGCAATTTGTATTAGATTTTACATTTGATTAGGTTCTGTAATTAGATTTGTGCAGCTTAAACTAAAAAAATCATTATATTTAATGACATTTTAATACAGTCAAACCTTGGTTTATGAATTTAATTCATTCCTAAAAGTTTTGAAAACTGATTACTTCTAAAACCAAAACAAATTTTCTCATAAGAAACAATATAAAATAGATTAATCTGTTCTTGACTGCCAAAACAGCCCTTTTTTTTATTTTTTATTTTTTTAGCTGTGTTTCATGCATAAAAATGTCTATAAATGCAATGTAATATTATATATAATATAATATTATCTATATCTATTCTATATACATATTAAAAGCAAAATAATCTGTCATCAATTGAAACTAAAACTAACACTACAACAGAGCATTATAAATAAGGACTGAACTCTGACTGCCTAGATGAAATATAACCAAAGCAATCATTAACTAGCTCTCTAGTTTTAAGAAATATTAAATATTTATATTTTATTATAAATTTTTGTTATTTAATTTAACTTAAGCACATTTAAACACTAATTCTTGGATGCCACTTATATTACCTAAATGTCAATTAACGTGGTTTTTATTAATTAATTTGATTTTGATTCAATTGTGGCATGTACCAAAAAATGAAAATAGTATGTTTCCTACATGTGCATTGAAATCTAATTTAAATAGCAATGTCATTGATGATTTGTGTTGTGACATCTAATGATGCAAGATCAATCTCGGTGCCAGTATGAATCGGTAGTCCTGTTGTTGATTGGTCGGGCCATTGACTTTCTTTAACATAGGGAGTATAGGGAGTTGACATCTGCCAAACAAGCTACTCTTGCCAAGTAGCTTGTTTGGCAACCAGGGCAAATGTAAGTTCAAAATTTTGTTTGTTATTGAATTTTTTAAAAAGTGAGGAGTTCAAAACTTGAGGTTTGACTATAATTGGATACATATAGTGGATGGCCAAATTATTATACTCAAAACTATTTCATTGTATTTTGTCAGTTTAAGTTATGAATTACAATAATTATATGGTTTCTAAAGTTATTATATATTGTTTCAATACTAGTAAGTGTATTTAGGAATAAAAATTAAAAATGTGTAGATAGGTTGAATAGTGTACTAAAAGAGAAATACATATTATTCAGTATTTGGTTACTCAGCCTTTAGCTTCTATGACGGCTTTAACGCATGCTTTCAATGCTTGATATAGCTACTTCTTGGAGTTTTGGAGTGTTCTGCCATACTCTAATGATATTCTCAATCAGTTCTCTTTTTGTTTGTTATAATTTTATCCCATGAAATTTCAGTTTTCAGGACTGCCCACGCATTTTCTAAAGGATTCAAGTCGGGTGAGTTTCCCGGCCAGTCCAGAGTGTTAATCTGATTGTTTTTTACGTATTCTGTGATAGATTTGGCTTTATGACAGGGGGCAGAGTCATGCATGAATATAAAATTTCTATTAGAGAACCATTCTGCTGTCTGTGGGATCAATTTTCGTATACTGATCCTGACACATAGTTCCTTGGACGATATACAGCCTTCCAGTCCCTTTTCTGCTGATCACAGACTATATCATCACTGAAGCAGGATGCTTTACGTTCCACAATGCAGTCTTCATTGAATTTTTCGTGTGTCTTTTGCCAAACAAACTCAGTTTTGTGTTGAAGAATCTGTATTGATGACTCGTCCGAGAAACAAACCTGCAAGAAATTGTTTTTGTATAAATTTATAAAGAAAAATACTCTAATCATGTGTATTCTTGTATTAGGATTATACAAACCTTGCTCCAGTCTTCCTGTGTCCAGTGTCAATGCTCCTTGGCCCAGGTCAGACGTTTGGCTTTCATGGTAGGAATGAGTTTTGGTTTTTTTAGTGGTCGACAACATTTCAGTCTTCATGGAAAATCTTTTGGAAAATTTTTGGAGAAGTTTGAAAATAATAAAAGAAATAACATTGGCTGAAGTATAATATCTTTGTTAATTATTTGTCTGCTGATATAAATCACTCAAAATCGGTTTAAGAAAGAGTGTTTATTTTACTCGTTTATCTTATCTAAAGATAATCTTTTATTTTTAGAAATTATAATTTCAGTCCCATTTCTACAAATCTTTGCCTGAGAGTCCGCTCTGATATTTGTACTCCGTTATCATTAAAAAGTTTTTATGATGAGCCGAAGCTTTTGACGATCATCAAATGTAAAGCAATGTATTTCTCGCTCAGTTCAAAATGTTGTAATGCATTTTCGACTGCATTTACCAACTCGATCCGCTTTGATCGGTATTTCGGCATCCACCTTTTGCTTGATATTACGCACGCTGGACTGTGATACATCACACAAATCAGCAATCTGACGCTATTGCTATATTGGCAATGCCATAACATTGTCAAAATCCGTGCTTTTTTCCTTGGTGTGAGATCAGCACACTTCTCCATATCTGTTAATGAACATTTTTAGGTTAGGTCGGTTGACAACCCCCAAATAACTAAAACATGACCACAATGTATTGATCCAGTATTAGAATAATCCTAAATGTAAAAAATCTAAAACTTACCGAATAATAAGTTGATAACACTGAAGCCAAGATTTTTTTCGAAGACTTCTCACAAGCCAGCACAGTAAAATTTTTGACATGCACTGGCACTAGCAGCCGCCATTTAAAAAAAAAAAAAATTTATATGTTGCCACACTAATGAAAAGGTTGCCAGATATAGTGGCTAATTAGTAAATTAAAAAACAATAACATTCTTCCAATAATAAATTGATTACAGCCACCACTTTCACAGATAGTGACAAATTTTTGTTTGAGTATAATAATTTGGCCACCCACTGTACAATTAATAAGCATTCATGTAAAGAATTTTTAGTGAATAATAATTTTCCTATTGAATCATGATTATGATGACGATATTTATCTTTTAAATAAAGTAAATTTTTATTATAATAGGCAACAGATTTGGCATGTAGTCCATTGTGTTCTCTATTAGTTGTAGCAACAACTTTGGGATTTTTATACTTCTACGACTTGAGTGAATTTGCACTTCAAAAGAGAAGACTTATTAAAATTCTTCGTCTTTTCACTGAACCAATTCTTAGTGTAAAGTATGTTTCATTAAAAATTATTAATAAATATTTTTAATTGTTAACAACAAACATTTTAAATTATTATTGAATTAAGCATAGTTTTTACTTGGCACTTGATTTTAGCAATTTAATTTTCCATATTTTTTTACAGTTTTGATAATAATGGGGAATATTTAGTAGTAGTTGGAAGAAATAATATATTATATGTGCTTGGTGGTTCACCATCTCGTTTATTTGATGTCTGTGGTTATATTGGTAAGTGAATATTATTATGATAGATGATGTAAGACAATCTATTTATAATGCTTATTGAAATCTTTATATATCATATAAAATTTGATAACAGTATATACTATATATGTTGTTGTATATTGAGTTAATTCATTGTGAATACTGCACAACTAGCAAGAGGACCATTAGTGCCTGAGGCAATGCTAACCTTTTTTGTTAATTATGGGGGTCCCTTAGTTGTCTGTGTGCTTTAGTAACTTTCACAATGAGCTAAGACATCTGTCTAGATTGGACTGTTCTGTTTATGTGAAATAAAGTCATTGTTTAATTTCCTTTTGCACAGAATTCTTGTGAATTCTACATATGTATGCTGTAGAATGGTGGCTCTCAATCTATGTTCTATGGAACACAGGTGTTCTACAAACTTACCCCAAATGTTCCACCAAAAAAATCTTTAAGTTTTTATTGCAAATTTATTCCAATGTACTACAACATATTACTTTATTTGCAGACAATTCCATGTTTACTGTTTTATTCAGTTCAATAAAGTTTATTAGTTTATTGCTTTATTGTTTCATGAGAATGGTGAACATGAAATTGCTTATCAAATTTTGAGTATATTGATGCTAATATTCCTTGTAGTAAAAAGTATATAAATGATGTTCCACCCCTGATGTGGATTATAAAAAGTTTTTACGAAACTTAATCAATTAGGAATTAACGGAAAAGTGACAAAACTCCTTTTTTTAAATAAAATACAGAAGTATTTACTGGTAATTCAAAATTAGATGATTAATGAATGTTAGTAATATGCAAGCAGCTACATCTAAATATATTTTCTTTGATGACAATATCTTATTATTGTTAATGTTAAACTTTATCCATCAATGCACTAAAATTAATACTTTTAATTATTTGTACTACTTTGTCATTGAACCTTATCAAATAGTAGAAAAAATTAATAATGAATTATTTTTTTCTTTTAATGTTTTTCTTAAAATATGACAATCTGTTAGTCTATAGGTTAACAGAATTGTTGAAATTTTTATGATCTAAAAAAACAAACAAATAGACAAAGGGATTGAAATGATAGATTTTGATATAATTGATTATATATATATATGCTGGATGATTGTAATTAAAATACCCTATTCAGTGTTGTCTAAAGAGAGATTTAGTAGTACAAATACAACCAAATCTGCTGTGATAACACTTCAGTACAGTGGAAAACATATCTGTAAAAAGAAAATTATTATTGAAACTTACCATTGTTGCAAGTTTGGTGTTGCATGCAACAAACATTTTATTTGTACAAACCATCAGGAGCCACTGCAGTGACTCCATGCCAATTAAAAAAAAAAGTTACTGACTGACTATACACAGGAATTAGAGTTTCCAGTTTTTGGGAATCGATTTCTCTGTCCCCCAAACACCTAAAGTAATTCCAAATATCTTGTTTGAAAGAAAATTGTATTCTTAGGTAGTGTGCAAAATTTCAAGATTTTCCTTAATGTGGTTGCTGAAATATAAGCAATTGAAAAGCTCAAAAATCACCAAAAAAAGCTGTATTTTTTTTTCCTTCTCTTTTTTCTTCATCCTGCACTGCAGATGCTTGCAGAGAAAAACTCCTGGGTCTAGAAAGCTCAAATTTTAAACCTCTCTTGTAATCAATGAGGTACTTGCCAAACTTCCAAGTTGATAGGTCAAAGTTCACAGGGGTTTTCCCATAGAGCTAATTCAGTTTATAAGCATAAAATTAAACCGTAAAAGATAAAATTGCATGGAAACAAATGAATTTTTATTCAAAATGTTACTCAGAATTACAAAAGAAGCTCAAATTTATGCAAATTAAAACTATATAAAAAGTTTTCTTAATATAGATTTTTCTAAATGGTGTATCAAGAGTTGGTTGGCAGTGTGCCCAATTGGCAATATGTTGGTCTGTAATGTGTTCAGTCAGTGGTCACCAAGCACTAACTGATCTTATGTCTTGACGTAATAATACAATTTTCAAACAAAAACATCTAAGATGTAAAAAAATTTCACCAAGTAAAAATTTTTGACAATTTAGATGATGGTCAAAATTTTTCTTAGGAGTTTTTCTTTGTTAATGACAAGCTTGGCACTTGGAAGAGGTATCTACAAGATTTTTACCTGTATTATTGTTTTCTACACTTCTCCTCCAAGTGAAGCTTGTCTTTACTAAAGAAAAACTCCTAAGAAAAATTTTGACCGTTATCTAAATTGTCATAAATTTTTATTTGGCGAAAGTTTTTTAATGTTTGGATCCATGTTTTTGTTTGGATCCATGCTATACAGAAATCTTAGCAATGAAAAGGATACTGCTCAATACAGTCTGTCTGAAAAAGTAAAACTTGAAGATGATGAACAACATATTTAATGGGCAACCTTAATCGATCCTCTCTGATATTTCTCACATACAGTATGACACTGTCAAGTCTGTCAAATTTGTAATATGCTCTCAATAAACCATACTTCTTAAGTGTCCTCATAAGCAAAAATCACATGGAGTAAGATCCAAAAAATGAAGTGGTCAAGCAGTAGAAAATGCATGAATGATTGCTTGATATTGGAAAATTGTTATTGCAGAAATGCATGAAAGTGATAAAGCAGTCAAGGCATTGCTGCTGTTTCAGTTTGGGTATGACAAAAATGTTGAGCATCTTTTAGTATCCCTTGATAATGTGACTGTGAATGCACACCAGATTGTAACGTTAGGTAAGTGTAGGAGAATCTGCTGGAAAATATGAAGAAGGTTTTCCAAGTTTTAATGCAACAGTTAGAGTTATTCACTGTTTCATCAAGGTGAAAATGTTCCTCCTTACTTTGCAGAATCCTTCATGGTCGTGACATATTCACTTTATTATGGCAAGGACTGTTGATTCAAAGATCAGTTGGGTTTCTCTGTTGGTGGTAAGCAACTACTGGTTGTGACTGATCTAATGCAGATAACAATACACCAACTTTCTCAGTATTTTAATCACTGCTTTAAGATATGTATAACTTGCATGAAGTTGCACATGCACTCAGGGCTGGCGTGAGGTAGGTTCAGCGCGTTCGCTGGAACCCGGTCCTGAGATGTACGAAAACTAATCAGACATTTTAGAGGACCCCGTCTATAGTAAATTGAATATTTAGGTGTGTGTGGTAAATGCAATCTCATAATCCACTAATCAATGACAACTTACTGCACACTGACATGAGTGCAAGATTTTTCTCTCCCGTCTTTGCATTGAAATATTTTGTTACAGCCTGTTGCAGACATTGACATTAAATGTTGACGTCAATGGTGCTACATGGGTGTGGAAGACATTTTTGAACCGGGCCCTGTAAAAGGTCACATCGGCCCTGCATGCACTACTGAAGCCCACAACATTATTCATTGTTCAAAAACAGCTATGGTAACATCAACAACTTGTAAATTGATATAGATTTTCACTCTTCATTAGTTTGAACTCCTAAATGTCCAGTTTCCTCAAATCAATGGGGAAACTGGACATTTAGGATCAAACTTGCATCGATGTGGCGATATGCCATATTTTATGTATATTTTTGTATTAGTTTTAGATAGTTTTCTGTTGGAAAATAAAAATATTAACATTTTCATGATCTGTCGATTAATGGCAACACTGATTGTTTTTGCTGTAAGCTCCCTCTATTCTTTTTTTTCCTGCCTTTTTTGTTTTCTTCAGACATGAAGTTGTAGTGTTCCTTCTTTTTGTTTAAAATAAAAGTTTTTGTTGGCTATAACAGTGTCTGTTGTAGTTTCAATCATCCAGTTTCAACATTTTCTTCCTTTCTTCTGTTGTCTGTCGTTTCCATAATATTTTTTCCCAACTTGTTTTTCTTGGAAAGGGGTGACTAATCCCCTTCAACAAAGGGAAGGAAGGAAGCCTGAGGGCTAAACAGTGAGACAAGGGACATTCTTGGCTAAGATGTTGGAAGGATCGGATGACAAGGTGGTGTTTTCTATGACATTTTAGCAGCAAGTAGAGATGAGAAGAGGCAAAGGCAAGACTTAACAGCAGATCTGATCAAAAAAAGAGACATCATAAGGACTTCAGCATAAAAATGAGTTAAGAGAAATCACGAATTTGTCCATCATTCAAAAAAAAGGAAAAGATTGTGAGACTCACCACCCCAAGACTACCATTGCAGGCCGGGTACCCTCTTTTATCTATCTTTATTTCTATTATCCTTCACCATATATTAATATTTTCCGTCTTTAGGTTAAGTTAGTTTTAAGTGTTAAATTGTGATTCGTGTATAATAGTTGTGTAGAACTCATTGTTTAATTTTTTGCAATAGTTGTATTGGTATCTGTTCATTCTATTAAAGTTGTACTATGTGTATTGTAACATTGTATATCGGGACTGAGAAGAGTAGGTATCCCAACGAACTGATTTATTTCACACAAAATAAAGGTATCATTTTGTTAATGTATCCTTGTAGCTCTCATTTCGCACTTATCTTCACAGGAATTAATATATCTTAGTGTAAATTTATATGATGGTGAGTTTCTGAAGTGTAGCCACAGCATTGTTGTTGTTTTTGTAAAACAGCTTTGCAAGAAATGCATGTTTTGATAAGGTAATGGCCATTGTAGCAGATAAGAATGACATTCAATAATTGTGACCAGTTTTATTATTAGAACTTGGCTGCAACATGTGTGCTTGTGCAAAGGAAACTGCTTTTCCTATGCTTACAGTGCCAAGAGTGTGTGGTGGTGAGTTTTGGTTTTTTTTGTTAAGGAAATGGTTTCTAATGTGTTTGAAATGTAACCTACCAGATTTGGTTGTATTTAGACTGCTAAATACATTTCTAGATAGTATTGAATAAGAGTACTATAATTACAATTACATGATATTGAAAATAACATGACGAATTAATAATAATGATTAAAAACACTTAATTAGAAAATAATTGACATTTTAAAGTATTAAATTAAAGTTTGAGTAATATATATTTTGTAGAAAAATTTTTTATTTTTAAAAGTGAGATTAAGTTTAATTTTAAGTAATAAACAAATAACTTAACAAAATGTACTTCACTATCAATGGAAACATTTAATATTTTCAGATCACTAAACCTCTTCAGCAAATGTAAGAAATTCACAAGTGAAAACGTTTGAGGATTGCTACATTTTACATGTTTTGCTGGAAGCTGAAGAGGTTTAGTGGTCTGAAAAAACAATTAACTTATTTATAGTGATAAAATCAATGTTTGAATTTAATAAAAATGATTTTAAAATATTTTTTTAAACAGTAATGGATGGTGAAGTTATGGATGTAACATTAATGTCAGATTCTAAAGACCTACATATATTAACATTATCGTGTGGAAAAACAAATTCAAAAGAAAGAGGAGGTGACATTCTGAATTACATGAGTATTCCTCTGAGTATATCTTTAGGTAACATCTTGTCATATTTTTTATTTATAATTTAATGCCAATATATTGCATAGTTAAAATGTTATAAGTCATATATTATGTTACAGATTTTGATGAAACAAACTGATATACAAAATATTGCTGACATAAATAAGTTCATTTTTTTAGTGCATTTGACATTTTTATATGTTTAATTAAACACTTACTATTAAATTCTCTTCTTATTACTTGTAATTTATTGATGAAATTATTTATGTCACCAAAACAATGATTTTTGATATTTGTTGTATTGAGCCAATTAAAATGAAATCGCATAATTCTCATATTTATTCCAAATTGTTACTAATTAAAGATATCACACAGACAAAAATAAGATAAAATTTATGAAAAATTTAATTTTAATTTAACATTAAAAACAAAATTATAATTTAATATCAATAGATTCATGTTATTCAAATTGTATTAAAATTTAGTTAAAAATGGTAAAATAATAAAGTAAGTGAGCAATAAAATTTAATATTTAATGTCAAAAGAATGACTATTAAAATAAATTGTTAGAAGTAAGCATAAGATTGATTAAGAGAAGTAATCATTAATGGTGGAATGATTAATTGGAATTGGGAATCAGAAAAATCTGGCATTTTCTGGTAATGGGAATCAAGCAAATCTCATCATGATTTCTGATTCTTAAAATGATTCTTCCACATTTAATAAGAAAATTAATTATTTGTTTCAGTCAAATATTAAAAATTTTTTAAATCATGATATTAACAGTTACAAATTAGTTTATTGGAAACATTCATGTCACCAAATCAGAGAGTATGTGACAGTGATATATGAGGTGATGTCCATCACAGTGGACTTTTCTTCTGCCTAGTCAGAGCAATGAGAGATTGCATTTGGTCAGTACTAACTGTCCCATTTTTGGGGAGATAGGGTGACATTAGTTTGCCACCCAGCCACTATTGGATCGACTCGAGCGGCAATTTTGCATCGAGACTGGCAGTTGACAAAATATTGACAAAGTGTTGGCAGTGTTAATATTTAAAATATAAAGAAAATTGTATTTTAATTGAAAAAATATTATATAAAGTTGTTTCTAAGATTTAGTATGTTTACTAATGATGATAAAATGCTTGAACAACACCTTAAATACTTTTTCAGCAACACTAATTTATTTAAACAAGCATTTTTTACCCTTTTCATAGGTCTGCATCATGTTTAACAAGAAGATTCAAACTGTCTTCTTAAACAGTACAAATCTTCTTGTTAAACTTGATGCAGATCTATGAGAAGATGTGGAAAATGTTCTTTTAAATAAAGTGTTACTAAAAATATTTAAGGTGTTGTTCAAACTAAATTAGTTTTATCTTATATAGAAGTGTTTTTTAATGATAAAATGACTTTTCCATTATAACTATGAATGCTTTTGTTATGATTAACAGGTGATGCTGTAATACATTAAATTTTCAAATCAATTTGCATCATTCTAAGTAAAAATAATTGTTTGCACTAAATTTACTGCTGTTTTGAGTTTAAAAATTGATTTTACTTTCCCAGCTCTTCTTATATATAACAGAGGGAAAGTATGGCAATCAGTCAAAAAATGACCCCCAAGATTTTTACATTTTTCGACTCAGGGGATGTTGAAACTTGAGTAATTCAAAAAAATTCAGGGGTTTTATTTTGTATGGATGTGGTATGGGTGTGGGGGCATGATTTTTTCACTGTCTTTCAAGCTTAATAACTCCTATGCTTTTTGTTGAAAATTTCTGAAATTTTGCAGGGAGGTTTGTTTATCAGGAGGATTGATGCTATTTAATTTTGGTAGGTAAAGGTCAGTGGGATGGGGAGATAAAGAGGTTTGTGTGTATCTCCAGTAAGATCAGACTTCATGATGATTTTACTCATTATTACCATTTACAATTTTTTTATAAAACTATCCCTACCCTTAATCAAACTTAAGCTTTTAGCCATTTGATGATAATTAAAAATATAAAAATTTTTAATAAGATATCATAGCAGGTGGCACCACCAAATGTTGCTGGGAATATTAAGCAACTTGCTGCTGGATTTTTTCAAGATGAATCAGTCTAGTCATTCATTTGATTCTTCTTTTCCTAGAAAAAAGTTTACACAATTGTATATTTAGGAGAACCTGGCTCGAGTGAATAAATTCAAAACTTGGTTAACTGGTGATAATGGCATTTGCTCCACTTGTTGCATCATTTGCAAACCTCATTTAGTGTTAAATACAATGGAATAATGCTTTTATGGGACATACCAATTGCGAGAAATACTAAAAATAAAGTGCATCTTCTCATTTACCTCCCCCTCCCTGGTGATGACCAATGAAGCTGTTTCCAAAGATGGTCGCCCTAGATGACACAATGTGATAATTCTTTGAATAAAAGGAAAGTAGCCTTAATTTCATTGAGAGTAGGGTAATATTAACCATATCTGAAATAAGATTACAAAGTTATTTTGTAGTACACAATAAAGCATGCATATCCACATATAAATGGAGAATGTTCAAGTTTCTTTCAAAAAATGACTCCGACTTTCTTAATCATTTTCCATTCTTAAGCTCAACGTTTATTAATTAACAAATGGACCATATTCATACTGTAAATCTAATTTTTCTAAACTTAAATAAACTTTAGAAAATATCCAAAAGAATTGTATCGGAATTGGGAGTTTTTGACAGAATCAGGAATCGTATTGAAATTGGGAAAAATTTTGGTATTGTGCTCACTAATTGGAATATGCATTAACCTGCCAAAACACTTACTCTGCACATATTCCAGGACACTCCAACTATAGTCAGTTTGTAATGTAGCCATTTTCTCCATCAGTGTGTGACTGACAAGAATTCTACAATCCTTGGATATTTCCAACTCACCTACAGTGTAACAAAATCATCTAATAATTTGTGCACACCCTGTACCAATCTGTTGCAACAGCCAAATGACAAACAGTCTCATTTGACAAAAACAAAAGTGATTTGCCACTAGGCCAATGCACCAGCACATTTCTATGATTGTCATGACCAAAATTCATAAACCGGATTTTGAACTATTGTCTCATTTGTCCTATTTCCTAGATTTGACACTGATTTTTTTTTCGTTTTGTTTTCTAACTTTAAGAATGGCTTGGGAGAGTAATTTTTGTCCAATTCCAAGGTAATAGCTGTGGTAAATAGCTATTTTGAGGATTCATCAACATATTAAGAGAGAATCACTGCTTTGGAGTACTGTTGGAAAAAGTGCGTTGAGTTAGCAGGCGGTTACAGTGAAAAATAAAATTATTTTCTAATTGCTACATACTTTGCAAACAACCCACATACATACCTTTCTNAATATTACCAGAATAACAGAAGTTATATATGTCATAGTTACAACTGGATTCTAATAACAATAAGGTAACTAAGTAAATCGTAAGTTAAGTAAACAGTAAAACAGTATTTATTACAGAATTAAAAAAATGAATTAATTTGATATATTTTGTAAAAAATAATGATAATTTCCTGTCAGATCCAGAAGAATATTGGAAGGGAAATTCAAAAGAATTTAATCTACAAGCAATAAATTTTTTGAAACCTCAATTAGAAAAATTTGGTTTTGGACTTGTTATTCATCCGAACTCAGATGTTTATTCATTTTGTGCAGAAAATCCTTTTTGGCTTCAAAAATTTCAGATGCTTGTAAGTTTTATATATTTTTAAAAATATTATTGAAGTACTGTCAAATTATATTTTAATTATTTATTAAATAATTATGTTAATATTTTACAAATCTTTAATTAGACAATAAATATACTCATTGCCATATAAAATTGGCACACCAAGGAGGAGTTGTCCTATCACTGTGAAACTTGGCATGCAGATAAGTCTTGAGCAAATATAGAAATGATTAGAGTTATAATGTGATGGCTCATTGTGTGATGCCAGCAGAAGGCATTAAAGTGTGTCCCCTTTGGCCTATAAAAAGGCACACAAAGGCATCCTGTCTGTAGTTTACCTGTTTCAGAGAGACACTGTATCACTAGAGATGCCTTTACATCACAATTGAAGACCATATGAACAACTAATTGAGTTTGAGAGGGGAAGGATCATTGGGTTGAGAGCAGCCAGATGGTTATCTTTTTGAATAGCCCACCACCTAGGCCATTCTGATAACACTGTGAGGAGATGTTGGGACCAGTGCTTATATCACAACTCTAAGTAATTTGTCTCTGCTACACCATATGGCACTACAGAGTACAAAGAGACTGTATTTTAATCATAGGAAGATTGGGCACCCAGTAGCCACTGACATGGGCTACTGGGTGCCCATGTCAGTGGCTACTGACATGGGACTGGGCTAAATGCCAGGTCTGGGCTAAATGCTCGGGCTCTGGCAGTACAACCCAATGGGGACTGTTCTTCCTCACCTTCCTTGCTCCCAGATCCAACCCTCGTGCGTTGAAGATACAGTTTTGTGCAGCCTGTACTGCACTTAGAGTACTCTATCATAGAGAGGCCAGCTCTTATTAACAGTAAGCAGGGTCCCCTCCCTAGAAAAGAGGGTCCCCGTCCAGTGCATCCACTGAGCTTATAGGTCAAAGAGACCTATGACTTTTTTCATCAATTCCTTAAGTTTCAAAAGGTTTCCTCTACTTGCTGCAAGCATTCTAAGTACTTGTACCAGTCAACCCAGTGCTGTGAGATAGTTCAAAAACATTTGTCACCCGCTGTATATTTCTTACACATGTTATGCACCGGTAACAGGTTCAGGGAAGTGAGAACAAAGAATGACTCTAATATTAACTTATTCCTTAAACTGACTTTTCAGAGTTTATATTCTTTGTATTTTATCACTTCCAGATTCCTAAAACCCATTATCATAGTATGTGCCACTGTTGGTAGGTTACAAGAATCTGAAGCACTAGGAATATAAACTCCCAAGAAAACAATTTAAGGAATAAGTTACTGTATAATATTTTATGCTTTAAACTTACTGGATTCCGTTTTCTTTCAGAAAAAGGATCACTCTCAGAATATTATTAAACCATCTTGTTTTATTGAGAGTGGTCATTCATTAAAAGGAAGTTTGGCTTTTTCACATAACTATAATATTTTAGCCACTTTAAGTGATGATGGGACATTAGCTATTAGAGATGTAGAAAGTCTTGTATGTATTAGTAAAATATTTTTCAAAAATTATTTCTAATTTGAAAAATAAAAAAGATTGCGTATTAATACAAATTTTCATTTTTCAGAAAGTAATGCAAATTGTTAAAACTCATCATTATTGGAAAGGAAAAAGAGGAAAGGAATTATGTTTTTCATCTGATGATTCAAAAATAATTGTAATTGGAGAAGATTATACAATTGTTTGCTATAAAATAGAGTAAGTTGTTTTGTGGAAAAGTCATAATTAAAATATTTTGAATAATTTTATTTAATTAACTGTTACCCTATTAACTCCTCAGCAAGAATGCTGGTACAAATCTTGTACTATTAAAAAAATTTAAAATAAAGTAAATTTATTTTTGAAACATGCAATTATATAATTTTAATCAGTGATGTTCAATTAGCAGTCATTTTATTTAAATAACTGTTAAAAGTATTTTGCTGAAACTAGCAATTAAAAATAGGAGTATCTAAATCATTTTATTTGACTCTTGGTTCATTCCGATTAGTTTTATTTAAATAGCCACTAGATAAAATCTGCTTTGACTACTTTTAATTCAATTGAAACTATTTGATTTTTTGCATAATAATATTATTCAAAATAGTCTGGTTAATTCGAGTGATGAGGCAATAGTTTTAATTGAATAAAAGTATTTAATTTAAGTCATATTCATTGAAAACTCCATTAAAAGTATTTAAATAAAAGTATTTTTAAATGTTATTCAATTAGCAATTTTGAATAGCAATTAACTAGATGCAGTTTATGTTGAGGGGAGCAAGGTAGACTAGATGAGTTCATTAAAAAGAGTGGCATTTTGATCATCACTTATAAATTTAGTCAAAAGAGACTTAAAAATAATGTATTGACTAGTGTGCTTACAGACAGCAAGGATGAACTGTGTGCTTCTCTTAAATGCCTAATTGGTGATCAAAATGAAGGCACTTGTTGCAGGTTAATTAAAATTGATGATGATGACAAAGTACTGTATTTTCATTGTACAATATAGATCTAATTCAGAAAGTAATAATATTGTCCACTAAAAATAGCTCCAATTTTATATATTATTTGAAGGTAACCTTTTTTTAGATATATTAAAAGCAAAGTTAAATGTTAAATTTTTATCACATTCTTATTATCAGGTCGTACTACAAGTTTAGCACTATCAAGATGAACAAATGAACCTTCAAGTTTTGCACTACTTTCTCTTACTTGAGACACTTTTTTTCCATTTCAACGCTATTTAACTATCTTACGCAGCAGTACAGCAGTTGAAAGAATGTTTAGTTACAGGGGTCTTATTATGAATCCAAAAAAGAAACAGTATAAGCAATGATTTATTTGAAGATGTAACTGTTTTTTGAAATCCTTCTTGCAAGAAGGGAGGATTGTGCTTTTTGATTTCATTTGAACTGACAGAAAACTCTGAAGCAATAATAATGTATACAATACATATTGGTTACAATTTATTTTGATTCTTGCAGAAATTTTGAAACACAAGTAAATGAACATGAAAGAAAAGAGTTGATAGAGTCATTATATAAAGCAGATTCTGGAAAATCATCATCAGAAACTCTATCAGAAATGCAAATTAAACAGAATAATGAAAATGCTAAATTATGTAATTTCCAGACTATCACCAGGAAAGAAACAGAAAAAGAATATTTAATAAATGTAAAATTATAAATCTTTTAGATTCTTATTATTTACTAAACATAATTTTTTTAGTTTTCTTATAGATTTATTTATTGTTTTATGATTGATTTTCATTATGTATAATGTTAATTTATAAAGGTAACAAAGTTTTATTTGATCAATGTAGAACAAAAATTTTGTTACATTTCAGTTTATTTTGTCATGTAAATAATTATTATTATATAGAAAAAAGTAGTACATAATGTATATGTTAGAAAAACAGTAGTCTTATTTTGTGTGATTTTAGTGATTAGAGATTTATTTTGTGTGAAAAAAAATTTTTATACTGTTACTTTTGCTCCACAATAGATTTTATTATAATAGTCAGCATTTGCATTAATAAACAGAATTGTCTTATGCCATCTGCAAAAACACTAGCCCATGTTTATCAATCTTACACAAAATGACCCTACTGTATATACCAGGACTGTGGAGTCGGAGTCGGTAGATTTTTACGCGACTCTACACCCCTGGCAGGGCTGTGGAGTCGGAGTTGTGGAGTTTTGGTGTTTTAGTCGGAGTTGGATTGGTAAGGAAAAGTCGGAGTTGCAGTCGGTAGATTTTTACGTGACTCCACAGCCCTGGTATATACTGTATTTTTAAGATTAATTATAAAACAAACGAGCAATTATTTATTGTGACAATGTCACAATAACTGGCTGCAATTTTTAATTATATTTTTAATTTATTTCATTTAAAATATATGTTCTCCATCTCAAATCAATAGTGTTTTGTCCCTGTACATAATACTTTCCCTTATAACAACAAGAGTCATACTGGTCATCTATGTAACTCCATTCAGGAGAAAATTTTTTAATTGAATTTACATGACTTCTGGTCCAGACCGGAAGTTTGTATATAGTTAATCGGAGCCTCCTGTCCCTAAGTTTTTCATATCTGGTCTTGACTTTCATTTATCTAAGACCGTTCTTAAGATTAAGGACAAACAGACAACAGTGGGAATTTATAAGTCTACAATTTTTTCAAATTGCAGCCCAATAATGGGATGAGAAAAAATCTGGACTCAGTTTAAAGCTTCATAACTTTTGAACTCAAAAAAGATAATTAAAAAATCTTTGCACCAAAAATTATGTCATTTCACATGCTCAGTTATAGCATGTGGAGTTTTTGAACATTTGTGAGTAAGTTGATAAAAATGGCTTCAAAAGAGACATATTAAGAAAGTGCATTGTACAAATGTATGAAAGTAAAGCAAACCACTCAAAAAATTGATGGTGGAGCATTTTATATTTTTTTAGCCAAAGGCCATAGCAAATCAATTGTATATAATAATTTGAAGAAGTACAAAATATCCGGAACATGGAAAAGAAGGCCGTGGAAGTGGAAGGAAGCCAGTTGTTACAAATGCTAAAAGCTGAAGAGCATTACAACGAATGTTTGACAATAAAGATACAGTTAACTGGGTGGAGACAGAGCAAAGGTTAATTGTCATTGAACATATATAGGTAAGACACTTAAAAAGACAGGTATAAAGAAGAAAAGGATCCTAGAGTACATTGCTGAAAAAATTGCTGAAATAAAAACACAATGCAGATGGCTTGTAAGAAATTTTGGAAAGAAAATCTGTTTTGTTTTGTTCATCTGTTTTGTACAATGAGAAGTACTTCTTTTCTCTGGAATGCAAATGCCAGGAAATGAAATTTACTATATGAGCAATGAAAATCAAGCACTTCTCAAAGTGAAGTACAAATTTAAGAAAAAATTTGAAGCAAAGGACATTGTGAGAATACAAGAACCGGACAATTTGGCAGAATTATTGCTATTTTTTAGCTGTTATCGTGGTTCGTTGTACCTCATAATTCCAGCCCTCTAGTCATCGAGTCCCAAGATCCGCTCACTGGTCACTGGATGGATTAATAGGAGAGTCTTAGAGTAATTGAGTGGGGAGGTCTCAGATAAGTTGATAGGGTTTGTTACCTGAAGTAAAACAGGTTGACTGGTTAACAAATGACAAAAATTTAATGTAGAACTAAAAAAATTTAAATACATAGGGAGAGGTTACACGCTATAACTACTTAACAACTAATGGACCGAGAGAGAGTTTACATAAAATGTTCAAAGTTTATACCTCGAGATGACATCTCATAGTTCCTAGATTCTTCTATGTGATGTTGGGGAGACGATTGTGGATCTAGCCAAGAATCGGGGGTTCATAGGCCATTGGGGTGCTGGGGAAGAGCTTTGTCTAGGCTCCTAGGATATACGCCCCAATGATTGAGTGTGACTCCTTTTTATACGTGTTGCATGTGAGAATTGACTCAGGTGACTTTGGTTTAATGTGTTCTAAGTTTGAGTCATGTCCTGGTTCAATGGATATGGGCTGTCAAGAACTGGACAATTTGGCAGAATTATTGCTATTTTTTAGCCGTTATTGTGGCTCATTATACCTCAAATTCCATCTAATTGACAGTTTCTATCATTAATAATCGACTGTCTTGACTGAGATTGTAACATAAGTCCAAACATCCTAGTGACTGTTGACTTAGACCAATATTTGACCAGGTGTTGTCCACGGAAATTTCCAAAATTTACAACTTTTCATCACTTGTTGAACTGGAAAAATGTCTGTCTTTATTACATCTAATATTTTGAAGAAATCAGTCCCACTGTACTCGGCTAGAGATTGGTTTGGTTAGGCTTTTGTTTAAGTAAAATTTTGGCTTTTTCATCAGGGTTTTGTTTACGTCCCCAATTCCCTAATCCCTTAATTATTTAACTATTTCTTAAGTAGAAATAAGTTGAAACCAGTTAATTTATACTCGAATATTTGTAGTCTCGGGAAAAAAGTGGAAAGACAAATTTTTATGACAAACGGATACATAAATCGTAAATTTAAGGAAAATAAATTCTAGAGCTTTTTCTGTACCTCGCGCATCTCTCTCATTCATTAAATTTAGTTGTAAATGATGCTGCCAAAGTAACAGTTAATTTTTTAACATTATACAAGAATTGTACACATTTTTTTCTACATCCCCTTAAAGATGGGACATACGAAATCGTAATATCACCGGTTTAACATTGAAATCTGTGAGTAATATAAAATTGGAGAGCGGAATAAACATATCAAATATTTTAACGGATTTTTTTAAACTCCTGTCAACTATACAGAAAACTATCATAAAAACATACAGGTAAATTCCTATCGGTTGGGTTAAGTTATAAATCTACTCGTGATTCACGTAATCGGGCGAGGGCGGCCAAATATCTAGCAAGCGGGCGGCTAACAGCCCGGAACCAGTCCTGAATAGAATTGGATGCATTATATGTGTAACAGCCACCCAAGGTCTTAGGCTTCCACCGGCTAAACCGGGTGAGGTTGGTGCTCTGTAAAGCGCATGCGCAAATTTGGCTTTTTGGATGCTGACGATACAGTGTTTCCACTTCTCTACTCCACCACTAATATTCGAATATACAACAGCAATCTTATCTTTTTTTCCACATGTAGTATAGAAATTTGTAGTAAGATAGATAATGCGGTTATAATAAAATATTGTGCGATTATTTTCATATAATTAAAATTAATATGTATTTCTTTTTTAGAAAATACAAGGAAAGCGGCGCATCCACCGCTTCTAATGATGGCACGCCACTGTTTGATCATCTTTTATCTATCAGTCAGAGGGCAACAAAACTGCCAGTTGGAGATCTGGGTCTTTTTCCACTGTATAACTACATATTAGTTTAACTAATTAATCATGCCCTGGATCTCATTAATAATAATTATGTCAATTTTTTGATAAAATATTATGTTTTAAAAACAGTCCAGATTTTTTGTCTCACCCTGTTACTAATGATATACAATGATATTCAGAACTTCTAATTATTAACAAATTAATGATATATAAATTATTCTTATATTAGAATTAAAAAAATAATTAATAAAAAATTTTCAGTTAGGTTGACTTTGTTTTTTTAATTTGAAACAAAATATATATCAAAATTTGGGCATAAGCATTTCTTTATTTATTAATTATTATTTTTATCCATTTATATGAATTATTTTTATTATTGTAATACATAAGATGATATCAAAAAAGGATTACATGATTTATTACATTGATTTATAGATTATGATTTATTTTGTATTCTTCTACAATATTATTCAGTTTTGTGTTGTTAATTTGTGGATGAATGGATCCATTGTAAAATTGTAAGGGAAGGGACCATTAATGTTTGTAATCTAATGTTTCCTGAAAGCAAAGAAGTTTAAACTTATGCTTTCAGCTGAAAAAGTTGGACCACAATCTTTTGGGACACATTTGGTTTTGAATTGCTTGATTGTATCTACACAGTTAATACTGATAACTATTAACTATTCCATCTAAAGAAATTGCAACAGACTATAAGGAAAAATAATGTGGTCTTTTGAGTGATGGTGTAATTTTTCTTCCTAAAAATGTCCAACCATACATAGTTACAAACAATCCAAAATCTTCTATAGAAGTTCAGTTGGGAGAAGTTAAGTTATATGTCATATAGTCAAAGATTGATGCCACTGTTATCTCAGTGTGATAAAGACTTGAAATATGTGGCAAAACAATGGCTGTCAATAATAAACATAGGTATAAATTAGTAATATTAATAATATTATTGTTTGTTGACTCCCTTTCCAATATTAGATTTAATTTGATAGTTCCTTTTTGTATTGATACAAAATAAAATTGATTCCAAATAAAAATTACAATAATAATTTTTCATTAAACATTAATAATCAAATATTAAATTTTGTTTTTAACTCTAATGAAATTTAAAGATACATTATTATTTTTCATTGATCATGAAATGAGTCCTTGTAATTTATTGACTGACTATGCCGATAAATTGACTCCTCCCTCAGGGATGCTAATGATCACATAAGGAACACTTGTGCTAAAGCATTATTATATGTCAAAAGTCACAGCAGTGGTTCCCTGCCAAGTGAAAGAAGTCACTGACTGACTATATGTATAGGAATCAGAATTACTGATTTTTGGGGGTTGGTTTCTCCACCCCGAAACATCTAAAATAATTCTGAATATCTTGTTTGAACAATAATTGTTGTCTTAGGTAGTTTGCAAAATGTAAAGATTTTGTCTAAAGTAATTGCCAAAATATAAACAATCAAAAAGTGCAAAAATTGCCAAAAAAGCTGTATTTTCTTGTTTTTTCCTCTGACTCTGCAGACATTCATATAGAAAAAACTACTGGGTCTAGTAAGCTCAAATTTTAACCTCAAGCCTTTCTCTTTATCAGTGAGGTACTGGCAAAACTTCCAGGATGATAGGTCAAAGTTTATGGGGTTTCCCATAGAACTATTTTAGTTTTATGGCTTAATTCTATACTTATAAGGATAAAATTGCATCAAAACAAATGAATTTTATTCAAAATATTATCTAGAATAACAAAAGCTCAAATTTATGAGAATTAAAACTTTTTTAACAACTTTTCTAAATGGTGTATGAAAAACATTCGATCAGCACCAATCAAAATGAACATTGAAAGTGTTTGATCAATGGTGTGGTGCATTCAATTGGTGGTGCATCGGTCAGTGTCAACTGAAATGAATATTGAAAGTGTTTGGTTGGCAGCATGTTGGCTGGCACTCAGCAATTGAACTGTATATCATCATCCTACATCTTGATGTAATACAATTATTAACCAAAAAACAATTGATATTCAAACAAAAACATCCGAGATGTAAAAAATTTGTGCCAAGGAAAAACTTACAACAATTAAGAGAATAATGATATAATTTAAAAAATTAGAGTATGATCATAAAAATATTGTTATATCTACAATATATAATTAGATGATAATATATATTTTTATATTTTTGATGTTTAAAGCTTCCAACTTGGTTAGAAAGTCTTGAAGAAAAAGTAAGTTTATACATTTATACTTTATTAAAACTAAAATAATTAAAAGTTTCTTTAATTATTGAAATTGGTTTATTGTATAACAATTTAATTTATATCAAATACAATAAATTATTAACTGTAATAGAAAAAACAACTTGAAATACAAAAGTTTTCAGAAGAAAAATCAAGAATTTGCTCAGAAGTAGTAGGATTACAATTACAAGTAAGTCTTATACAAAATAATATTTGTTTCTACAGTGTAAAGTTTTTTATATGATGTGCATGTTCTTAGCTTGAAGAATTGATGGAGAATAATGAATTGCTTCCAGAACAAGATCGCTTACCTTTTAATGAATTTGTATTTGAACCTGCAGAAATTGAGAAACTACAGTCACAGATTCAAATGAAAATGGATCATGTAATAATAATCGTAATTTTTTTTTGATAAAGTTATAGAAAATTCATAAGTTATAAAAAACATTTATGCATTTTATATTTTATTGATTTCAACACTACTATAATATCCTGTGAATGATCTGTGTTTAAAAGTCAGTTTGAGAGCAAGTACTTAGGTGCCATCATTCATTTTAAATTAGAATAATGAATTCATCAACAACTTTTCTTTTGTTTAAACTTACCAAGAGTGTGTTTAAAAAATATGGAAAAATTTTTTACAGGTTTCACATATTCTTATGCTGTCACAATTTATCCAGAATGCCTCAACTTTAGTTGTTTTTTATTTTGGGTGTGTCAATTTGCATTTTAATTGATATTATTAGACATTACTACTAATAGTTCTATCTTGAAAGTTGATAAATTTCTGGTAATTCTTTTTTCCATATAATGATTCTCAAAGATGTGCTTAGAAGTTAACTGTTAATTTTAGCATATGTTAATTTTCTACAGTGAATAAGTGCTCAAACCCATATTGTCAGACATAGAATCTATGTCAACTTTTAGTAAAATCAACAATGATACTATTAATGGAAATTACTTTATTTATAGTTAATTTACTTTGAATATGTTAAGGCAATCATTTTATCATGAGTAATGTCAGCTATATTTTCACATTAGATTTATTTTGACCGCAGATGGCTCTTCGGATATCAAATATATTACAGATATTATTGACATTAAAATTTCTTTCTATTTAATTGTTTGGAGTTATTTTAGTATTTATCATTATTATCATCAGGAGTCTTTTAAACTGCATACAGATTAAATGATGGATTTTTAATGTTGGAGGGTTGGTAATCAAAAAATAATTCAAAATTTTTGTTTCATTTTTTAAAAATTTTTTGTTCTAAAAAAACCAAGTCTATGACACTAAAATGGCAGTATACATTTGATAGAACATGTATCCAAGACTAGTATTAAAAAAACAGACTGGGAAAAATCCTTAATTTGTGACCATGACATTGAAAAATGTGAACGAGGGAATTCATTTTCCAAAAAGAATAGAAAATGTCCAATAACTTGAAAACTATGACACTTTTACTAAACACAATGTTTAATTTTCTGAACAGTCATGATGTCCCCTATCCTCAGGTAATGGATTATCCACTCTTTACGCCACACCCTGTATATGATTAAACTGTAGTCAGGTTTTGGTTTTCCTAGCATTGTACAGACAGGCATTATTATGATGGAAAATACAGACTTATCTTTGGAAAAGTTTGTTTTGATTTGCATAAATGTTACTGAAAGATTAAAATATAGGCTTCAGAGTTCTCAGCACCATTTCAGAAATCAAACCTCCAACTTCCTCTGTGTTCATGCAATCCCAAACCTTTAGAGATTGTGGCGTCTAGACTTGTCTTGAATGACATGCTGAATTACTAGCTTCATGTATAGTATAAATGACTTTATTGCTTATACAGTCTACCCCACATAACACTGTTGATAATTCCGTTTTATATGAATTTCATGTTGTACGAGTCACTTAGATTTTACAAATATGTGAGCCGTTCACAGCCCGGCACACATATTTGTAAAATCTAAGTGACTCATACAACATGGAATTCATATAAAATAAAATTATCAACAGTGTTATAGGAGGGTCGACTGTATACCTATGATTTACATAAAATGTTGCTTTATCCAGCCATAGTATTTTCTATCAATTAGGTTTGTCTACTTCAGCTGAGTTTTGGCCCAAGCTAAATGTTTGTGCTTGCATGATTCATTTATGAAAGGTTTTCTCTTTTGTTTATATATTTCATAAATTTCTTTTGTAAACTCATTGATCTTCTACTTTTATTAGTTTCCTTATTCCTTGTTCCTTTAGGATAATTTTTTCAAATTTAAATCATCTGCATTTCCACTTAACTAATATCATCCTGTTAATATTAAAATTCCTTAAAACATCCTTCATTTAGTTTATTAATGACTTTATTTTTAATCTGTCTATCAGACTTTTTTAATCTGTCTATCAGTCATATAAAATTAAATTTTTATATGACTTCTACTAGGTGTGTGTTTTGTGTGGTGTGTATAAGTGTATGATAGCCACCTGCCATGCATTATACATAAATATATTTTAGTTATAGTTATTATATGTAGACTTTCTGGAATGTTCTCTGCCTTTCTCTTTTGTCTTTCTATTTTAGTTTTGTCTTTTTAGTTTATTACATAGGGTAATAGTGAATGCAGCAGGAAGGGAATTGCATATAGTAAGTGGATGGAAGAAAGGGGACATTCTTTTTCACTGGAAGATGTGTGAATTTACAAAAGAAAGGCTTGAGAAGAAGGTCACTAGGTCATGGTGATCACACTAGATCGGAACCATCAAATCACTAACAGAAAGAAAATTCAATAATGGGAAGGATTGCCTGACACTAAACTAATTCTATGTTTACAGAAAGAACATTGTCACTTTCATTCATTATTTTGGGCTTTAGGTACCTCTCTCACTTTGACTTACAGTAGAGCATTGATTATTTGACTTGACTGGGGACTGGGAAAAGTATGAAAAAATACATTATTAGTATAGTATATTAGTATACCCCATGTAATTAGTATANGTACTTTTCCTCTGTTTAAGGGTATTTGGGCAGTTTATTCTCTGTTATATTTTCAAGTAAACAATACATACAAGTACAGTACAGTGTTTTCTGAGGAAACACTCGCACTTATTTTTTTAACCCCATTTCCGATAACCCGGCATTTTCACAAACTCGGCCTCCCTTCGGTCCACATTAGGCCGAGTTTTCGAGGTTCTACTGTATTAAGAATTAAATATTAGTTTGTTATTGAAAATTGTTGACAAAGCAGAGTGTATGCGATGCCCTATACACAAGGTGATATCTGTCACAGTAGACTTTTCTTTCGTGTAGTCAGAGTGATGACAGATTGCACTTAGTACTAATTGTTCCCATTTTAGGGGAGATAGGGTAACAGATTGCCACTTGGTTGGGTTGGCTTGACCAGCAATTTCAAATAAAGGCCAGCAGTTGATAAAAATATTTAAGTATCGGCAAAACAGTTTAAAATATAAACAAAATTATATTTTAATTGAACAAGTATTATATAAAATGATTTTTAATATTTAGTATGTTTACTTATAATGATAAAACACTTGAACAACACTTCAAATGCTTTTTTCAGCAACAGTTTTAATTGAAGGGTGTAGATGCAAAAGTCACTCTCTCCATTTTTTAAGACTTTTGGAAAAATGCAAAATAATATTTATTATTGACACATATGATATATTATAACAACTTTGTATGATGTCTTTGTTGGCATAGAAACTACTTGCTGTAAAAAATTGTTATAATATATCAGATGTGTCAACAATAAATAGTTTTTTGCATTTTCTTGAATATCTTAAAAATTGGAGAGAGTGACTTTTGCATTTACACCCTTCAATTTAGTTAAACAAATATTTTTGATCCCTTTTCATAGGTCTGTCAGGTTAAACCTAACACAGATCTATGAAAAGTTTGTTTAAATAAATTAAAAGTGTTGCTAAAAAAGCATTTAAGGTGTTATTCAAGCTAAATTAGTTTCAGCCTATATAGAAGTGTTTTTTTCTATGATAAAACAACTTTCTTGTTATAACTATGAAAGTTTATTATGATTCATGGATGATGCTGTAGTTCATTGAATTTTCAAATGCGATTTGTGTGATTCTAAGTAAATATAATTGTTTATGCTAAGCTTACTGCTGTTTTGAGTTTTAAAAATTGATTTTTCAAGACGAGTCAGTTTAGGCATTTATTTCATTCTCTTTTCCTCAAAGGAAGTTCACGCAGTTGTACATCTATCAAAACCTGGTTCAAGTGAATGAATTCAAAATTGGTTAACTTGTGATGATGATGATAGTTATTCAGCTCATTGCATCATTTGCCTAACTCATTTAATGTTAAATACAATGGAATTAAAGTATTTACGAGGCATGCAGATTATGAGAAGCATTAAGAAAATAAATACATCTTCTCATTTACCTTCCCCTGGTCATCATGTTGGTCAGTGAAGCAGTTTCCAAAGATGGTGATCTTAGATAATATGATGGGATAGTTCTTTGAGTAATATGAAATTAACTGTAATTTCTTTGAGGTAGTGTTCTAATATTAACTTTAAATAAAATAAGATTACAAATTTATTTTGTAGTACACAATAAAAGCATGCATATAAATGGAGAATTTTCAGGTTATTTTGAAAGATTGATTCTGGTTTTTCCATTCATAAGTTTGACGTTTATTAATGTATGTACCTTGATCATAATGTAAATCATTAATTTTTCTAAAGTAAAATAAACTTTTGTGGATTAGTTGACTAGGGTGAATCATTAATTCCTTGTCAGGATGGTTAAGGGATTTGCTATATGTGAGTGGTAGCGATGGAGGCACAGATAACAGTCACTGTTACAAGAAAACCTGTTTATTTGAACTTAAGAATTCACTTACAATATTCTCTAGATCAGTCCTTCTGTTAAATGATCACAATTATCGTAAAGTTCTTTACAGTGGACATTCATTACTTGGAGTAAGGTGTGGCGACAGGTGATGGCCGATGGGGGATAGGTATCCATTTCTACAGAGTGCGATGACAGTCGTGGCTCCAGGGCAGTGGCGAGGTGATGTTCAATGAGAGATGGGGTTCCAACATCAGTTGCACACTCGTTGCGGCACCAAAAAGGATGAAACAATGACAGTTTCATTCTTTGTGCAGGGTGACACAAATTTGTCATGGGACATAATTGAGAAAAACTGCGTGTCTGTATACATGTGTGTGGCAATCAGCGCATGCAGTGCGTTGAGCTGAGTGCTGACTCATGCATCATACTATCTGCTTCATACTGTCCTGTGCGGTGCAGTGCTGTCTGTAGCTTTCAGTACTCTCCTGTGCTCTCTGGTGTTCTCTCATCTGCTCTGTCTTTAAGACAGGATACATCAATCTTTGTCTCAACTTCCTGTT